AGAGGGCACACAAAGCAGATCACGTAGAAAGGACAGACAACCAGAAGGACACGGGACTGCTCGACAGTGATGTGGAAACTGTAAGAGGATGGAGCATGCCTTTGAAATCCTAAGAGAAGACATATTCCAACCTACAATTATTTGCTCAAAATAGCAATCAGCCTGAAGATGGAATAAAGACATTTTCTGGTTTTTAGGGAGAGATAGAAACGTCAATGTGAGAGAGAAACCTGGATCGGCTGCCTCCTGCACGCCCCCTACTGGGGATCGAGCCTGCAACCCAAGCATGTGCCCTGACCGGGAATTGAACCGGGACCTCTCAGTTCATGGGAGGACACTCACTCCGCTGAGCCACGCTGGCCAGATAGAATATAGACATTTTCAAATATGCTGTGTTTCAAAAATGTGGAGGATACCCACCACAACGAAGGAGAAAGCAAAGAAGAGGCTGGCATTGGCTGCAGGACTGGGGAGAGGGGCAAAGGAACGCCCTGAAGGGCAGCTCCAAGCTGACCTGTGGGCCTGGAGGCAGCTCACTCCGGTGGGGCTGGGAGAGCAGGCTGCGGAGGACGAGGCTCGGGACACCCAGGGTGGCTGTGCCCCTTTGAGAGGAGATTTACAGCTCTGACAGTTTGAGCTGAATTAACGGGGGTACATAAAAACAAAGCAACTAGCCTAGCCGGTGTGGCTCAGTGGTTGAGTGTTGATCCAGGCACCAAGAGGTCACCGGTTCGATTCCTGGTCAGGGCACACGCCCAGGTGGTGGGCCCGATCCCCAGTGGGGGGCATGCGGGAGGCGGCCAATAGATGTTCTTTCTCATCGATGTTTCTATCTCTCTCTCCCTCTCCCTTACTCTCTCGCAAATCAATAAAGAAAAAAATTTTTTTAAAAACAAAGCAACTGAACAAGAAAATTAGAGACGACAGTGAACACACGGAACCGGTGACACGGGAAAGGGAACACAATCACAGTGCATTATGGGAGTCTCCACGGAAAACATTTACATAATCACATTCATCAAAACACTGACAAAGGATGAGCCCTGGCCGGTTTGGCTCAGTGGCTGGAGCGTCGGCCCGCAGACCGGAGAGTCCCGGGTTCGATTCCCACCAAGGGCACGTACCTCAGTTGCAGTTCGTCCCTGGCTCCTGTTGGGGCGTGCGGGTGGCAACCACTCGATGTGTCCCTTTCACGTCGATGTTTCTCTCTCTCTCTCCCTCCCACTCTATCTGAACAAAATATGAAAAAATGTCCTCGGGTAAGGATTAAAAAAAAAAAAAAAAAAAAGAACAGGTCACATTACATGCAGGGTACAATGGTACAAATGGATATGAAAAACAGCTGACTTCTCATTAGAAAAAAATGGACATCAGGAGGTAACAGAGTAATATGTACAAAATATTATAATCTTCAAAATTAAGTATGGTTGGTCCTCAAAAAGATTAAAAATGAAAATACTATATGATCCACCAATTCCACTTCTGGCTATAAACCCAAAAGAACCGAAAGCAGAGCCTCAAAGAGCAATGTGGACAGATTCATTGAAATGTCAGTGGTGCGACCCAACTGGTGTGGCTCAGTGGTTGAGCGTCGACCCGGTACCAAGAGGTCGCCAGTTTGATTCCCAGTCAGGTCACATACCCAGGTTGTGGGCCAAATCCCCAGTGGGGGGCGTGCAGGAGGCAGCCAATTGATGTTTCCATCGCTCTCTCCCTCTTCCTTCCTCTCTCTCTAAAATCAATCAATAAAAAAAAAATGTCAGTGATGTGGCACCTCTGGAGAGACAGAAACTACTCAGTAGGCCCCCCCAAAGCTGGCCCTTCGCACCTCCTGCTGCCGTCACCAGGCTACACCCCCTTGGGCCCTGAGTAAATCAGAAGTACCCAGAGCCGGGGGCGGGGGGTGTGCACAGGTGAGTAGGGACAGAATGGGTGGACGGTGGGGAAGGCACAGACACCTGTTCCATCTGTGCCCTGCTGGTAGCAGGTGCCACAAAAACAGCAGTAGTGAAGACTTTGTGGCATCAGGCCTGGACTCCTGACCAAGAGCCAGGTGGGATGGTGGTTATCCTGGCAGACACTCACAGCATCTGAGGACACCTAGGTCTAGATGTCCCATCTCCAGGCCTGACCTAACCAGGGCAAACAACACCACAGAGCTGATGCAATTTCTTTATTATTTTTTAAATTGATTTTAGAGAGAGAGGAAGAGAGGGAGAGATAGAAACGTTGATGAGAGAGAACATCGACTGGCTGCCTCCTGCATGCCCCTCACTGGGGATTTGGCCCACAACCTGGGCATGTGCCCTGACGGGGAATCGAACGGCAACCTCTTGCTGCATGGGTCAACACTCAACCACGGAGCCACACCAGCCGGGCCGATGCAGCTTCCCATGCTGGGATGCCAGCCATGCTCTGGGAGAGAGCCTAAGTGGATTCACTTAGCCAAGTAAGTGTTGGTTAAATCTGCTGAGTAGAATATTTTAACTGCAGTCAGGTAAGAAGAGCACTGCCTCTTTCCAGCCAGACTCCTCCTTCGTTGCACTCTTCTTGGGGCCCTTTGGAGTGACCACAGGCACTTTTGGGACCCCGTTGTGAAAATTAATACTTAAAACCTCAAATAAAATTGGAATGGGAGCGTCCGTAGGGGAATTCTTCTACCCTACCACTCAGCATCAATCACCCATGCAGGAAGAGACACTTGCATCTCCAATAGAAGTTTTCTAAGTTACTACCCCAGCAAGGGGAAAATTTTCTCTTAGCCAGGCAGAGATCGGCACAACCCATACAATGAAAAACCACTCCATTTGGAATTTCAAGTTTCCTCCAATGGACTCTATTTGTAACAGCCCCTCCCTCCCAACTCCCCACTTTCCTCTATAAATGAAGGTTCCTCTGCTTTGTTCTCTGGACTTGCTGGTTTGCCATATATGGAATATTCTGAATTTGCTGTTCTGGTATAAACCCATTTCTGCTAGTATAATAACTTTGATCTTTTAGTTCAACACCACGAAGGGGAACTTGAGTTGCATTTAGTTAAAGCTTATGGGACATTTTTATGCAGTTCAGTCTCACTGGCCTGTCCTGGGGTAGGTGTCTTCTATGGCTGACAACTACCCACCTGCACAGCGTCTAGCACTGGAAGTATTTGGGAGTTAGGAAGAAACAAGGTTTGTAGTATGTACCAGGAGGGAGTCTGTGCAAAATTCTTCCAATCATGCAATGTGCAAAAGTGTGAGCAGAGGACTTATTTCTCAAGCCCTGGAAGGAAGGAAAGTTGTCTCCTCTGATGAAGGTATTCCATAATGCAAAGCATAAAACAATTCTGCCCAGTCACAATGTAGCACTCAAAGAGAACACAGACACCCGGCCGGTGTGGCTCAGTGGTTGAGCATTGACCCCTGCACCAATATGTCGCGGATTTGATTCCCAGTCAGGGCACATGTCCAGGTTGTGGGCCCAATCCCCAATCCCCAGTGGGGGGCATGCAGGAGGCAGCCAGTCGATGTTCTCTCTCATCAATGCTTCTCTCTCTCTCTCCCTCTCCCTTCCTCTCTCTCTAAAATCAATAAAGAGAAAAAATAAAAAATATTAAAAAAAAATAACAAAGAGCCCTGGCCGGTTTGGCTCAGCGGTTAGAGCATCGGCCTGCGGTCCAGAGAGACCGGGGTTCAGTTCCCGCTAAGGGCGCGTACCTCGGTTGCAGTTTGTCCCCGGCCCTGGTTGGGTCGTGTGGGAGGCAGCCACTCGATGTGTCCCTTTCACGTCGATGTTTCTCTCTCTCTCTCTCCCTCCCTCTCTATCAGAACAGAAAATGGAAAAATGTCCTTGGGTGAGGATTAAAAAAAAAATTAATTAAAAAAAGAAAAAAACAGAGAACAGCCTAAAATGTAAGCAAAACCACTGGCGATACACTTGCTAATTCCTACAAATGTTATTTTTCTAAATGTGATGTTAATGACATTTGTCAGTTTTTTAAAATTTATAATTTGTCCTCTTCTTATACAAAATCATCATAACTGTAAAATATTATAGAATTATTATAAAATAACATTTATACCTTATACAAAGTATGTTACACAAAAAAAATTTATCTAATTTTGGTTTCATAATTTTCCATATTTATCTTATAGAGTCCTACACCAAACCGTATATGCCCAAGTATCTGCCGCCCCCCCTTCCTCCTGCAGCCCAGTCTCCCTTCCCACGCCCCAGCCCCCCTCACTGTCCTCCCCTCTCCTCACTCTCCCTCCCCAGTGCGGCACCCCTGCATTCCCCCTCCCCGCCCCTCCCCGCCCCTCCGCGCCTCTTCCTCTCGCCCCCCTCTTGTGTACACTCGGCCCTGACACCGCCCCCTGCCCACCCCTCTGAACCCCCTCCGCCCTCGTCCGCACCCTGACGTCGCCCCCTCCCCGCCCCTCTGAACCCCCTCCTCCCTCATCTGCACCCTGACGTCGCCCCCTCCCCGCCCCCCTCTTGTGTACACTCGGGCCCTGACACCGCCCCCTCCCCGCCCCTCTGAGCCCCCTCCGCCCTCGTCTGCACCCTGACGTCGCCCCCTCCCCGCCCCCCTCTTGTGTACACTCGGGCCCTGACACCGCCCCCGCCCCTCTGAGCCCCCTCCGCCCTCGTCTGCACCCTGACGTCGCCCCCTCCGCGCCCCCTCCCCGCCCCCCTCTTGTGTACACTCGGGCCCTGACACCGCCCCCTCCCCGCCCCTCTGAGCCCCCTCCGCCCTCGTCTGCTCCCTGACGTCGCCCCCTGCCCGCCCCTCCGCGCCCCCTCGCGCACACCCCGCGCCCCTTCGCGCCCTGACGTTTCCACCCCTGCGTCGCGTGCCGCCCCCGCAGTGCCTCAGACGAGCCGGGCGCGGATTGGCCCCGAGCCGCGGGAAGTGCCCGCCCCTCCGGGCCGCCGGCCAATGGCGAGTGGGGGCGGGGCCGCAGACGGCGCCGGAAGCGGCCTAGCGACGAGGAGACGTCGCGTCGCCGGGTCTCGAGCAGCTGCCGCGGAGCCGCCGTACGGACCGTCGGACCCGCCCGCCCGCCCGCCATGGCCGAGAGCGACTGGGATACGGTGACGGTGCTGCGCAAGAAGGGCCCCACGGCCGCGCAGGCCAAGTCCAAGCAGGTGCGGGCACCGCGCCGGCCTCCCGACCCCGGCGCGGCCGGCCGGACCGAGCGGGACCGACGCGGGCCGACGCGAGCCTGGGGCCGCGGTTAGGGGGCCGGGGCAGGGAAGGGGCGGGGACCGGGGCAAGGGAGGTGGCCCGCGGAGACAGTCCGGGCGGACGTGGGGGCGCTGGCATGAGGACGGGGGCAGAAGGTGGCACCGGAGGACGGTCCGGAGGTAACGGGTGGGGGATGGGACGGGATCAAGGAGCTGGGACCGGGCAGGGTGGTGGAGCGACCGGAACGAGGACGACGACGGGGCCTGGACAGAGGCCTTGCCGGGATGGGAGTGTAAGGGTCGGGGGTTTTCGGACCCATGATACAGGCCTCGGGCTGACCCCGAGCAAAGTCCCAGGGCCTTTAGACTTCTGGGTGTGGACAGGAACAGCTAAGATGAAGCAGATGGAGGACCCGGGCAGGGTGGCCGGGGAGGACCTTGGGGCGGGAGCTGGGGTACGGATAGGAAGCAGGGATGGGGTAGGGGCCGGTTGGAGCCCCCCAGGAGAGTCCACTCAGTCTGATGCCGCTCGTGTAACCCCCGAGGCACACTGCAGTCTGTAGGGTGTTTGGTGCCCAGCTGAGCTAGCCTAGAGACTCACCAGGCAGGTGGGCCTGCTTCCCCATCTCGCAGGTGTAGATGAGCCCTGAGCAGTACTCGGAGACAAAGTTTCCAGCCTGGCTGCGCTCTCCAGGTTCATGTGTGAGTCCGATGTAAGTGCGCCAGGGAGGGGTGGTTCAGCCACCGCCCGGGCTCTCAGACTTGCAGTGCTGGGTCTGGGCCAGGACTGGCTGCAGCCCTGGTGATCAGCATTCATTAACCTGCCCTAGGCTTGCTGCACAGTCAAAACCAAATTCACTCTTTTTTTTCTCCCCCGAAAGGAACCTAGCTACAGCTAGGAGTCTTGTGAACAGGTCTAGAAAGCATCTTTCAACACATCATGCTTAAGCGTATACCACAATCACTTCTTTGAAGTGTTAGAAGCACCAAGAAATACATTACTGTTCGGGGACTACAGATCAAGGGGTGCAGCCCTTGTTGGTGGTGTTTGGGGGCTGGGTGCAGGCTCCCAGAGCTGTGCCCTCTCTGTTATTGGAGCCAAATGCCCTGAGGAAGGCCAGACCAGGTCAGCGTGGCTGGTGCAGGAGAGTCGGTCTGTTTCAGGTGTAGATTTCTGAAAGGAAAACATTAGCATGTTTTTCTCAACAGCAGGGAAGTGAACGATTCCTGTTTCCCTTAGTATCAGCTTACTGAGAGTTGCTGGATATTCGATGGAAGGCGATTGAAGGTGTATGATGAGCTTGGGTTTAAAACCCAGCGCTGCCCTAGCTGGTACGGCTCAGCTGGTTGGGCGTTGTCTTGTGCAGGGAAAGATTGCCAGTTCGTCCCTGGTCAGGGCACGGGCCCGGTCTCTTGCTCCATCCCCAGCAGGGAGTGCACAGGACGTAGCACATTGATGTGCTCTCACATCAGTGTTTCTCTTTCTCCCTCTCCTTTTCTTTCTCTGTAAAGATCAATAAAATATCTAAAAAATAAAAACCCAGCACTGATGTCAGTGTGCACACGCCTTCTACAGGACTGCCAGGCTCCGAGGCCCCAGGTGTTAGCTGTGTGCTGCCTGGTCACCGCAGCCTGAACTGCACTGCCAGACGCTGGCAAAGCTCTATGGTTTCTGTTTTGTTTTTTAAAATATATTTTTATTGACTTTCAGAGAGAGAGGGTGGGAGAGGGAGAGAGAGAAACATCGATTGGCTGCCTCCTGCATGCCCCCCACTGGAGGTCAAGCCCAAAACCCAGGCATGTGCCCTGACCGGGAATTGAACTGGGATGTCTTAGTGCATGAGTCGACGCTCAGCCACTGAGCCACACCAGCTGGGCCAAAGTTCATTTTTAAATTTATTTAATTAAATTTATTTATTTATTATTATTTTTTTTAATCCTCACCCGAGGATATTTTTCCATTTTTTGTACAGATAGAGTGGGAGGGAGAGAGAGGAAGGGAGAGAGAGAGAGAGAAACATCGACGTGAAGGGACACATCGAGTGGCTGCCACCTGCACAACCAACCAGGGCCGGGGACAAACTGCAACCGAAGTACGTGCCCTTAGCGGGAACCGAACCTGGGTCTCTCCGGACCGCAGGCCGACGCTCTAACCGCTGAGCCAAACTGGCCAGGGCTAAATTTATTTTTAATTAAATTTTTTTACTGTTGAAAGTATTAGAGATGTCTCTTCTCCCCCCCCCCCCATTGACCCCCTCCTCCCTGCTCCCATCCACCTCCTGCTTTTCCCCAACCTGATGTCTGTGACCATTGGTTATGCATATATGCATAAAGCTCATTTTTTTTTTTTTATCCTCACCTGAGGAACTTTTTTGATATCTTGTTCAGATAGAGTGGGAGGGAGAGAGAAAGAGAGAGAAACATTGATGTGAAAGGGACACATCGAGTGGTTGCCACCCACACAACCCAACCAGGGCTCAGGGACAAACTGCAACCGAGGTACATGCCCTTAGTGGGAACCGAACCCAGGTCTCTCCAGACCGCAGGCCGGCACTCTAACCACTGAGCAACTGCCAGGTCAAGCTCATTTCTTAAACATTGATTTGAGAGAGAGAGAAATAGATTTGCTATTCCACCCATCCATGCACTCATTGGTTGACTCTTGTATGTCCCCTGACTGGGGATCGAACCTGCAACCTTTGCGTATTGGGATGACGCTGTAACTAACTGAGCTACTTGGCCAGGGCTCCAAAGTTATTTTTGACCAAAAAACATTTCTTGATTTTCTAGGCCATCCTAGCAGCTCAGAGACGAGGCGAAGATGTGGAGACTTCCAAGAAATGTAGGTACCTCTGTTTCCACCCACAGCTAGGGCTTGGGGCAGGCCGTTGCTGTAGACGTGCGCAGTGTCCCGGGTGTGAGGATGGCTGTTGGCAGCTGGAGCTGCTACAGGGCTGAGAAATGTCTGGAATCTTCTCAGAGCAGTTGTGGCTGGCACAGATCAGGAGGGCTTGTTCCACCCCCTCCCACAGCTGGGAGACCATTCTGGACTCTGCTCTTAAGTCTGTGAAGTTCCTGTAATTTGGATGACCCGGTTTCCCATGTCCCCGGGCGCAGGGCACCGCACCTGCCGTGCCTGGTCCCCTCCGGAATGGCTTCCCTTCACCGTGGTTGCAAACCCTCTCTGCTCTCACCTCCTGCTGGCCCAGGGGCTGCCGGCCAGAACAAACAGCATTCGATCACCAAGAATACGGCCAAGCTGGACCGGGAGACCGAGGAGCTGCACCATGACCGCGTGACCCTGGAGGTGGGCAAGGTGATCCAGCAGGGCCGGCAGAGCAAGGGACTGACGCAGAAGGACCTGGCAACTGTGAGTGTGGTGGGCCCCCTTTGCCCAGGCTGCCGGGCAGGCGGGACCAGTATTCAGAAGGACCTGTGCTGTGTGACTCAGGAGGCTTCAATTTACCCCTGACCCCACCCCCAGGCCCCTGAAGGCCTCTGGGGAAGGCACGGGAGACCAGATTAACTTCCTCTCCCTGTGACCCCAGAGCATTTGAGAGCTTCTCTGCTAAGGCCCTTGGCCCCTCCCTGTCACAGAAGGTGGTGTCCCCGGGCCCATCCACATGTGTTCTAGTCTTGCACTGTTTTCTTATTGAACCAACACATACGAAACACATGCTCTCCTTAGAAAATCAACGAAAAGCCACAGGTCATCGCGGACTACGAGAGTGGACGGGCCATCCCTAATAACCAGGTTCTGGGCAAGATCGAGAGAGCCATCGGTGAGCGCCCTGCCGGCCTTTGTTGGGTGAACGGGTGAGGGGCTGTCCCTCTCGGTGGGGGTGGTGCTCAGGAAGGCTCGGGCTTTAAGAAAATTCCCGTGAGTGGGTTCTGTGGGTTTCCTCCCCTTTCACTTTTCCTCTTCCGCTCCCTCCCCCTAAATCTGCTGGGGGGTCCTCCGTGGCTCCTTCCAGTTCCCACTCCCAAGGTCTCCCACATGCCCCCTGTGTGAGCTCCTGTCCTGGGAAGGGAAGGGGTGTTGCTCTGGGTCCACAAGACAGCAGGCTCGGAGGGCCGAGCCAGGAGCAGGGCCTGCTCATCCCTGCCCCCTCCCCCCGTCTCCTTCGTATGGGGCAAGGGAACTAGTACTCAAGGGGTCCAGTGGGCGCCTGCTGCCATCTTGGGGACCCGTGGGCGGGATGCTGTGCTGCTGCCCTGTCCTCTGAGGTTCCAGGGTGAGCTGCGGTGGCCAGCGCATCCGATGCCTTTCAGGCCTCAAGCTCCGGGGCAAGGACATTGGCAAGCCGATTGAGAAGGGGCCGAAGGCGAAATGAGCACGAAGCCTCGGAGTCGGTGCGTCCAGCTGACCTTGTCTGGCTGGCTCCCCTGACCACCGCGCCAGCGCCGGTCTCTCCATGTGGCCGAGCGGGCACGGGGTCCGCCCTGCCCGGGACCCTCCACCTGAACCTGCTGTCCAACAGAACCTTGCAGAGTGTTTGCTTCTCCTGGCTGTTCTTCCTCCCTACCCCCGTCCTCACATGAGGTGCAGACGCCACTGTCCTCTCCCAAGGTGTTGTCCCAGTTGTGGGTGTGGCTCCGGGGCAGCTGAGTGGGAGCCCTCGCGTGGGCGGGTGTGGGGTCGTGCGCCCAGGCCAGGCCAGGAGAGGGAAGACGCGCCTCCAGGCTGGCTGTTAGAGACGCTAATAAATGTTCGCGGCCCTTCCTGCTGGTGTGAATCATCGTGTGTGGTCCCACCTGTCATCCCACCATTGCACCCTCAGCACCCCCTCCTCTGCCCATGTTGGGAGGGGTTTGTTTTCATGACAGTTGCTGTCAGGGGTGCTTGAGGGGCTGTGAATGTCACCATCTGCTGGGACAGTTAGGGGTGTTGGCTGGCCGCTTGGCGCCGGACCCCGCCCTCCCCTGGCCCGAAGTTCCCGGCCACACCCTTCCCCACAGCCCAGTGGCCCCGGTGGCAAGGTGGAGCAGGAGGGGAGCCCTGGCTGTGCAGGAGTGGCCATCGCCTTAGCTCGCCCTTGTCTGGGAGCAGGGGTCAGGGCAGGTCAGGCCCCTGAGCCAACTCTAGGGCTGCCCCAGGCCCGTTACCCCCACTGCCCAAGTGCACTGGCCGCTTCCAGGTCTGGACAAGACTGTTCAAGTGCTCCCCAGGGAGGAGCAGAGCCCGGCGTCCTCCCTGGGTTAGGAAGACCTGACTCCATCTCATTACAGGAAGGTGGGATGTGGGGCACCAGGGACCTGATACACCTCCAGGGATGAGCCTCCCTCACACCCTTGGTGAGCGGGAGCCGCAGCTCGCTCTTAAGGGACCTGCTCACGACTGTCACGGTGGGCTCTGCTCTGAGATCATTTCAGGGATTGCTCGGACCTTCCCTGCGCGATGGGGGACATGGGGACCATGGGCACAGGGACCTTTATTGTGGGGTTGTGGACACGGACCTCCAGAGCGATGCACAGACTGGCTAGTGAGGGGGAAGCCACCCTTGTGGGCCGGAGTGTTGATTGCTGGGGTTAGGACTGTAGCCAGGCATGAGGGGGGACAGGATGCGGGGTGGGCATGCAGGACTCAGCCCATCCTGGGCCAGGGCTGATAAGACGGGGGGAGCTTCCGTGAGGAGCCTGGGTCTTCTCTGTGTCTATGGGTCACTGGTGGCAGGTGCTGGCAGGGTGACTTGATCCTGGAAAGGAGAAGCCTGGTGACTGCTGGGTGGGTTGAGAGGGTTCCTGCCCCTCTGCTCTGATCTCCAGGGTCAAGCCAAGTGCAGGGCCAGTGGCTCCCCCACCCACCTCCCCACCCTTACCCAGGGGCCCCTACCGCATTGAAGAGAACATTGTCAAAGCCAGGGGCTGAGGCCGCTGTCCTGTCCTGGAAGGAGTAGCCCCCCTTCTGCAGCCAATGCCACCCCAGGAGTCCAAGCAGCACCAGGAGCAGGAGGAGGAGGGTGCTGCCAACCGTGGCTGGTACCACCATGGCCACTGCTGTGTCCCCTGTGGGCCACAGGGCACATGAGCCCTGGGACTCGAGCCCTCCCTGTCAGCCCCAGTCTTGAGGCCAAGGATGATGTCTAGGGACAATGGTCTCTCCTCTCCCTGCGGGCTGCTGGGTCACTGCTCTAGACTGGGGCACGGCCGTGCCAGGACAGGCCCAGGCTGAGGCGGGGGACCTGCAGGCAGGAGTCACGGCCCCAGGCTGAGGACCTGCAGGCAGGAGTCACGGCCCCAGGCTGAGGCGGGGACCTGCAGGAGTCATGGCCCCAGGCTGGCCCCATCTGGAGGTGGAGTGTCAGCAACCAGCAAGTGCTCCAGGAAGAGGCTGGTCGGTATCTTACCTGGCTGGCACCTCCCAGGGCCTGGCCACACCCTGAGAGCACACATGGAGTTCAGGGGCCTGGGGAGGGGACGGGACAGCAGGAGAGGGAGGGACGGGCCCGGCCCTGGTGGGTCTCCTGGCCTCTCAGGCAGCCACATGGGCCGAAGCTGCCGAGCCAAAGAAGCCCAGGCCCAGAGCAGGCTGGCCAACTTGGACAGGGCTTACCCTGGCTGGGTGCAGGCAGCTGGCAACGCTGCCCGGTCAGATACTCAACGTCGTCCAGGGCAATGGGCCCCAGGGCTGGCTGGCCACCCAGAGTGGCTTCAAACATGATCTGACCGGGAGGGAGGAGGGGCTGTGTGGACTCCAGGAGGAAGAGGGCCCTGCCCGAGCCCCTCAGGCCCTGGCTCCGAGCAGAAGGGCCTTACCTGGAACTCCTCGGCACTGGCCACCTCCACCTGGCCTTCCAGCCACTGGTGCCGCTGGCGCCCGCCAGCACCCCACACGGCCAGCTGGCCTCGGGCACTGCTCAGGAGCACCCTCAGCTCGCCCTTGTCTGAGCGCAGGGTCAGGGCGGGTCAGGTCCCCGAGCCACCCCAGGCAGGGCCGCCCCAGGCCCCTGCTGCCCCACTGGCCGGCCGACTCACAGCAGTGCTGGGGGAAGTCCATGCGGTACCAGAAGCGGAGGCAGGAGGCCTTGGTGGCAGGCAGAGGCTGGCTCCGCAGCCAGGCCGCCCGGCCCCCTGCACCCAGCACGCCAGTGTCGAAGAGAGCAAAGTGGCCTGGGGACGAGAGCGGGAGGGTGCCCGAATGGCCCGATGGAGCTGAGGCCTCTGACCCTGGCGGGAGCCTGGGCGAGCTGGGCTGGCTGGCCCGGTTGGGGTGGGTGTCTGTCCCTGGCTTTGTGTGGCTCTGGGACCCCTTCCCTGACTCAGACCCACCTGTGTCAGTGCCCAAGGTGTGGTCCACAGGGGGTTGGGGGTACTGGGAGGGTGTGGATCCGCTGCTCCAGTCCCAGCTGTACCCACCCAGGCCAGGCCAGGGCAGGTGGCTCCAGCCACATAGGCCAGTCTCGAAGTCACAGGAAGCTGCAAGGGACCTGGGCAATGAGTGGTGTTGCCGCTGCCCCCATCCCTGGGGCACCAGCGCTGCCGGGGCCGGGTGGGCACGGAGCTGGTGCCACCCCTAGGGCATAGCAGGCTGCAGGGCTCCCACCTGGCCGAGGGCAGGGTCCGTCCTGGAGGAGCAGGTCGTCCAGCGCCATGTAGGAGTGCTCCACGCCAGCAGCCACGGCCTCAAACACCACCTGGGCAGGCACAGGGCGAGGCAGCTCCACGTGGTCCGGACAGCCCCCGGCGCGAGGCAGCACCCGCTCCCTGCACTCACCCTCCAGGCCCGCTGGGCCTGCACGTCCACACTGCCCAGGCGCCAGGCAAGCCCTCCGTGGTCGCTGACGCTCAGCACCTGGCGCCTCTCCGCCTCCTCCACGTGCACCTGCAGGGTGCCTGCCCCGGCGGCAGCCCAGGTCAGCAGCAGTGGGGAGCAGGGCCCTCTCGGGGCCCGAGGAGTGGGCTCCCCGTGGCCTTGGCCTAAGGGCTGGTGTGGCCAGACAGCCCCTCCTCCTGGCAGTCCTCACCTGGGTTTCGGAGGCTCAGGTGGTACCAAAAGGTCAGGCAGGCAGGTTGGGTCAGGGGCCTGTGCTCCTCTGAGGTCAGAGAGGCCATGTGGCCTCGGGGTAGGGCCTGTGGGCTCGTGTCCACTATCATGTAGTGCCCTGGGTGAGGGTGCCAACTTCAGCCTGCTGCCCTGCCCCACCCTGACCCACCCCTCTCATGCCAGCCTGCCCCTGCCTGCCCACCGCCCGGCCCTCCCTCAGCCCCTCTGTCCAGCCCAGGGCACCCTGAGCTGTCTCCATAGTGTGGTCAGCTCGGGGGCCCAGGGCGGCATGGCCCGTGACGTTGGCCTGGCGAGTCCAGGAGTCCCCGGTGAAGCCGCAGGCCGAGTCCTCAAAGGAGCAGTGCTTGGGGGCCCAGCAGGGCCCAGGCCGCACAGCCACATCGTCCAGCGCCATGGTGCCATGGTACCCGTCCCGGAGGCCCTCGAACAGCAGCTGGGGGCAGAGGGTGTCAGTGCTGGGGCCTGCCCTGCCCCCGCCACCCAGGAGCTGGTCCTCACTTGGTACTGGGCGCCAGATAATGTCTGGTGGTGGAGGGTGGCCCAGGCCTCGTGCCAACGGTTGCCGTGGGTGCCTGACCTCGACCAGAGGTGTGTGTCCCCCTTCCCATCCTGTCTCATCACCAGGCGCAGTGTCCCTGTAGGGAGAGTGGGGTTTGGAGGGGCCAGACCCCCTCCTGATGGCTTCCCACCCCCTCTAGAACTTGGACCACCATGAGCCTCCTAGCCCTGCCCTGCCCTGCCCTGCCCTGCCCTGCCCCAGGTCACTCACCAATCTGGGGCCCATAGAGGTGATACCAGAAGGAGAGACACTCCTGAGGGGCTGCTGGTGTCTGCGGCTGGGTGAGCAGGTGGGCACCAGGGCCCCGGGCTGGAGGGTCCGTGGGGTCCAGGAGCATGAAGCAGCCTGCGGGAGTGCGGGCGGAGAGCCCGGCTGAGCTGCATACGCCCAAGAAGCATGCCCTCCACCCGAGTCGAAGCCAACGCCCCAGGCCGGCGCTGCCACCGAGTCTGGGTGCCCCGCCCTACCTTTGCCTGTGGTGTGGTCGTACCCAGGGCCATGGCTCTCCGTCCAATGCCAGTGGGCATCTGTGAGGTGGCCTGTGTGCCAGCCGCACAGGTCCCGCTCGAAGTTACAGGAGACCTCTGGGGGTGGGGCAGCGGCGGGGTCAGAACCCCTGCCCCTTCCCCACCCTGCATCCCTCCTGAGTCCTGAGAGGAGGGGAGACGTGCTCTCTGGGGTCTCTGGGGGTCCTTCAAGGTGGTCTGGGCAGAGGAGCCAGGGTGGGGAGTGGGTGCGGGGGTGGGCGGGAGGACCTGTGTCTTTCTTGGTGACCACTGTGGGGCTGCAGTCCTTCAAGATCACATTGTCCACCCCAGCTCCCTGCTGACCAGGGCCATCCAAGTCCACAAGGCCGACAAACTCCAGCTTCATGGGGGCATGAAGGGGGGCTGTTAAGTCAAGGCCAGCTCCATGCCCCCTCCCAGGCTGCCCCCCTCACCTGGAAAGGCCGGCGGCGTTTCCCCAGAAGGACCGTGTCCACCCTCCAGACGCTGCTGCTGCCCGGGGCCTCCCACACCAGTTCCCGGGTGCCGCCCTCCACCACGGCCAACGCCAGGAAGCCTGGTGAGGGGTCGCCAAGGGTCAGCCCAGCCCACCCCGCCTCCTGCAGGGTGCACCTGGGGAGCTCTGCGCCCAGGGCTGGCAGAGGGCTCGGACGGACGGCCAGACGGCCAGCAGTACCTTGGGGGTGACTCTGAAAATAGTAAGCCATGTGGAGTTCGCAGTGGGGGCCTGAGAGGCCCAGCGGGGGGGTGAGGACGCGGGCCTCTGTGGTCCGCTGTCCCCAGGCCCTCTGCAGGGACAGGAAGTGCCCTGCGGAAGAGCAGAGCTGCTCAGCTGACTCCTCCTGGGAGCCCCAGCTCAGGGGACCCCTCGGGGAGGCACTTGGCAGGCTGCTGCCCCAGGCTGCCCTGGGCCGGGGGCTGGGGCCTCACCAGCAGCAGCCCCGCCGGCGTCCGTGCCAGGGCCGCTGCCCTGCTCCGCGGGGACACGGCCCCACTGCAGCCGCCCCACGCTGGTGTCCTCCCAGCCCCCGGCGGTGGGCAGCTCGAAGTCCGAGGTGCCTGCAACAGCAGGGGGTGCTGAGCCGTCCTGGGGCCTGCCCCGCAGTGCGAGAGCCCGACCTGGAGGCCCCGCTTCCGGCTGCCCTCACCACACTCCTGCTCGTCCTCGCCCCCCTCACACTGCTGCTGGAAGTCACACAGCTGCTCCGGGGGGACACACAGGTCGCCACAGGACAGATGTCCTGGCTCACAGGATCCTTGGGGCTGCAGGCCAGTGGGCTGGGGCCTGGGGCCTGGGGCCCAGAGCCCAGGGGGCCAGCGGGATCCCTCTGCGGGGGTAGAGCAGAAGGGGGTGGGGGTTTAGGGGAGTGGGAGGAAGCTGTGTTTGCCGGAGAGGGAGGGGGCTCAGCAGACTCACCCAGGACTGGTTTGCAGCCATCAGACAGGATGAGGTCATCCAGGCCCACAACACCCCCAGGACCCGTCTGCCCGGCCAGGAGGATCTGAGGGCACACAGGGCTCAGGGGGAACCCCAGCACCATCTGCTGTCCCCCGGGTCTGCTCCCTTGAGCCCTCTCCTCGCCACCCCACACCTTGTAGTTTATATTTGGTGGACCCCTCCCCCATCACCACCACCCCACCCCTTCGGGAAGGGCCTTCTGAAGGCCACCTGTCTCCGCTGGCCTTCTGCAGCCCACCAACCGACCAGCAAGCTCCCTGCAGAGATAGCTAGAGGGCCACCCGACTGCCCCCCATCGCTGCCCTCGCTGGCCTCACCTGGAAGGGACGTTTGCTCTGGATGTCAACCCGGTCTCGGACCCAGGCGGCCCCCAGGTCCCCGTGGCGCCTGCGCAGCAGGACAGGGTCCCGGGGGCCACTGGGGTTCTGTGCCTGCAGGTACAGCTGGAGGCGGCTGGCCTCGGACCCGTGCAGGTAGTAATAGAAGATGAGCTGGGAGGGGACCAAGGACAGTTGGGAAGTCGCCCTGGGGCCCCAGCCGCAGGACAGCAACCCCAGTCCCTCTGCCTGCCTTACCGAGCAGTTGTGGGGACCCGGGGCTTGGAATTCGGGGCTGTGGAGGACGGCAGGGGCGCTGGGCTGAGCCGCAGACACCAGGAAACAGCCTGGGAAGAGAGCAGGTGTGAGTTGGGCGCGGGGGGGGGGGGGGGCTGCGGCCTGGCATGGGCCGGGGCTGTGGCCGAGGGTCCCCAGTGGGTCTCACCCTGGGCGCTGTTCTGGCTGTGGTCTCGGCGCGGCCAGGCAGGGAGTTCAGGGACACTGGCACTGTGGTTCCTGGTCCAGCCCTCCAAGTGGTCCCACAGGCCCAGGCCCTTCTCAAAGTCAGTGGACAGGTAGTGGCCTAGGGCAGGAAGTGGGACTCAGGCTGCTGAGCAGGGCCTCCTCCTGGGCCCTCGGCCTCCCTGACACCAGAGGCTGTGTGGCCCCATCTCCGCAGACAGGAGCACCCTACCCCCAGAAGGACCAAGCCGAGGTACAGCCCCTCCCGTGTTCGAGTGAGAACCCCGACTCACTGCACATGGGTGTGTCCTCATCGGAGCTGTCCCCACAGTTGTCCTCTCCATCGCACAGCTGGTGGGGCTCCACGCAGGCCTGGTTCCGGCAGTGGTGATGCCCCAGGGGGCAGCTTGCCTGGGGGGCTAGGGTGGGGAGGGTTAACCCATCACCCTTGGCCCAAGACCCATGGGGCTGGGGCAGTGGGGGGAGGCTCCAGACCTTCTGAGCTGGGACTGAGCAGGTGAGGGGCTCTGCTAACCCACTGCCCCCCAGGTGTGGGGCCATAGCATGGGGTCTTACTGGGCAGCCCACAGCCCCAGAAGGTCACATCATCCAAGGCTACAGTGCCCCTGTGGGTGGCATTTCGGGTGGCAGAGAAGGTCACCTGAAGAGAACAGGGTCCTTAGGACCTAAGTCAGGGCTCAGACTCAACCTGCTACCCCCACCATCCAGACCACCCTCCAACTCACCCAGAAGTCACCCCAGATGCGGCCAGGGGCCACCACCAGCTCCTGCCATCCTGGGCCCCAGGGTCCTGAGCTCTGCCACAGGGTCAGCGTCTCGGTGCTGTGGGTCAGCTCCAGCCGAAGCTCAGCCACATCTGTAGGGGGCGTCATGGGGCTGCTGAGCCACCCCAGGGCCTCCCCGCCTGCTGGCTGTGCGCTGCCTTGGGACCTCTGCCCCTTCCTGGGCACCTTCCCTTTCCTGCGGCAGCCTGCCTTCTTTTCCTGTCTCCCTCAGGGCATCCCACCTGGGGCGCAGGGTTCTGGGCGCACACCTGCAGAGGCTGCGTGGTACCAGAGCCTCAGCTCACAGGTAGGGGCCCCCTCGTGCAGGACAGGGGAGCGCAGGGCTGCAGTGGACGTCTCTTTCCCACGGTGAGTGCCAGCAGCCACGTACCAGCCTGGAGGGGCAGAGAGGTTAGAAGACAGGGCAGGAACCAAAGAAGGGAGGGGGTGGCATGGACACCCACCCACTAGGCCTCACCCAGGTCAGTGCCGAGAGTGTGGTCTGAGCGTGGCCCGGGACCCTCGGGTGCAGCCCCTGCCCGGTCTCGGAGCCAGCTGTAGCCGGAGGTGCTGATGTCTCGCCAGCCACAGGAGTCCTGCTCGAAGTCGCAGGCGAAGGGGACGCCCCAGGCAGACGAAGCCCCATTGTAACCTAGGACAGAGGGTGGTCAGGGGAGCCGCCCTCCGAGGGCTGGTCCTGCCCGCTCCCTGCCCAGTACTGGCTCACCACACTGAGTCTCGTCGGAACAGTCCCTGCAGTCACACACAAAGTTGCACATGGTGTCGCTGGGGGTACTGCAGTGGCTGGGGACCCAGGCCCAGCCTGGGAACCCTGCTGCCAGCAGAGAGACAGGCAAGTGATCTGGGGCAGGGTGACTCCCCCCATCCAGATACACCTGGGACTGTCCCAGGTCCCAGAAACCCCGCAGAGCCAGGCAGGCTGTTGGTTGTCCTGCTCTAGGTCCCAGGACGGAGGTGGAGAGGGAGGGGATGGGTCTGTGGCTGGGGGCTCCCTGTTAAGGCCCAGGCTGGCTGCAAGTCAGTATGGAGGGATGTGGGCATGCATGGGACCAAGCGCGCCCCCTTGTGGAACAGCCCCTGGCGAGGAAGCGGTGAGCCCAGCGGGGAGGGTGCCCCCTCAAGGGGATGTATCAGTGGATAACCCAGAACCCCTCAGGCTCCACGCGTCCAAGAGCAGGGATCTGCCTCCAGGGCCCGCTCACCTTGGAGCCTGGGTGGAAACGGGCCATGGAGAGCAGATGTCCTGCCCTTTGCCCAGCGGGGCAACCTCAGGACCCTTAGGACTTGCTCTGGGTCCCACTACAGCAGGTCACCCAGGCCTTGTCCCCGAGACCCCAGCCAGCTCTGCTTCAGGATCCAAACCCGACTCACCCAGGAGCAGGACCAGGGCAAGCAGGAGGCAGCCAGGCAGAGGCATGGTCAGGCCAAAGGAAGCGAGGCCCAGAATGTGTACACGCTGGGCAGCTTGGTGGGGACTTTGCTCAGTTATCAGCCTCGGCCCCACAGGCTGACTCTGCTCTAACGGGAGACAGGGCCCCTTGACCAGCCCCACCCTGGCTGATGAGTGCAAACACTGGTTGTAAAAGGGTCCAGGAGAGGGGCCCCTGGCCCAGGTCAGCTCCCACTTGCGCAGCCACTCCAGACCAAAGGTTCGGCCCCGTCGTGCAAACCACTGCGCAGCCCTGCCCGGTGGAAGGCCTGCTGGAGGCAGCTCCAGGGAGCACAGGTCGCAGCCACTTCTCCAGGGCTCTGTCCCCAGCCTGGCTGCAAGGTCAGCTTGGCCCAGGCTGCCAACAGGAACCCAGCATGTATAAACCCCGGGAGGAGGGCTAGCAGCCAGGGACCTGGACCATCTTCGTCTCCATCACTCAGCCTGTGGTTCCTGTACCCTTATTTATTCATAATCACTTATTCCTGGACCACTGTCCTGAGCAGCATGGCTGGCACTCAGGGGCCCTGGTTCTCATGGCACAGACCACAGATCAGCCCCAGTGCAGGGCTGGCAGCCAGGCTCTGCTGCAGTTGATGCGGTGACCTTGGAACCTGCCTCCTGTTAAAATGCAGTGGCAGGGCACCTGCATGGAGGCTGTGGTGAGCTCACCCAGGCACACAGCAGGAGGCAGCCGCAGCAGGGCACACCCACTCGCAGGGAGCCGCAGGCTGCACCTCGGTGTGCCTGGCTCTGCCCTCCTCCTGCTGGTGTCCCTGCAGCCCTGCACTGGGTGAGGGGCTCCCAGCTCCATGTCGGAAACTCTGCCTGTTGACCTCAGCTGTGGGCCAGGGGCTGAGACCTGATATCGGAAGCAAGGAGTCACAAGCCACTTTCATGTGTGACCTCGGCTGGCAGAGCACACAGGGACACTGAAACCAGCCGCCAGGAGAGTGGTCACTGGTGCCCTCCTGCCCTGCACACTGGGATGGGCACTCCCACCCCAGGCCCCAAGGAACCAGGGACTAATTCCTTGTGCAAGGGCTAGGTGGGCCTCCTCCCAGATGTCCTTGGGGATAGCAGCCACGAGGAGGAGCAATTAGGTCATAAACGGGGACAGCAGCTGGGGGGCCCTTATCAGACCCCAAAGAGCTGAGTGTGCACTGCCACTCCCTGGGGCCTCCAGAGGCAGAGCCAGGTGAGGGGCAGCCAGGAGGGGCCCCGCTGCCCCCAGGGCTCCTCAGGCTCTCTGCTACCCACCCGCTCGAGTCGTGGATCCAGAGGGGCAACCCAGGAGGAGAAGCCAAGACACATAATATCCAGAGACCAACTGGGGTGACAACGCTTTTAATTCCAGTGGGTGAGGCAAACCCAGATAGTGGGACCAGGCTGGTGTCCAGCTCCAAGGTCTGGGCAGGGTGGCACAGCACCAGGAGTGCAGCCCAGCCCCGCAGGAGGGGGCTTCAAGGGCAGAGTCCTGAACGGGCAGCTGGAGGCAGCAGGCCTCAGTGGGCCTCAGTAGCCGTCGTCAGCCCAGGTGACCTCGTAGTCGGGGTACTTGGCTTTGATCTTCTCCGTGGAGATGGAGTGCTGGGCGCGCCCGTATCCCTGAGGAGAGAAGACGTCTCTTACAGCCCGTGTCCTGGCTGTGGGTGTCCAGTCAGTAGGGACACCCACGAGCCAGACTGGGGTGGGGGCCCTAGGGAGCCCTCCTGCAGAAAGGTGGTCACCGCGGTGAACAGACCTGCCTGAGGCCTGGGCTATTCTGGGTGCCCAGAGAATACCCCTGTGCATCCACGGGTGCCTGAGTTTCACCCCTCTCCCCATGCCTCAAAGAGCTGGGGGAGAGTGACAGCCCGCGCTGGCCTCCGGAGCTGGGACAGGACCAGCCCACTGTCCCTCCCAGCCCCTGGCACTGGGAGATGGGGAGGCTGCGGGCCGGGGACGGGACGCGTGTGGCCGGCAGGCCGGGGCTGGGCCTCACCATGGAGTAGCCGTACACGTGGATCTTCTTGTCCTGGCTCTGGTGGGAGATGCGCCCGCCTCCCAGGCACTCGCAGTCATAGCCTTTCTTCTGCAGCTCGCCGGACACCTTGTCGTAGATGTCGGCTGGGGGGGAGCGCGCAGCACTCAGCGGAGGCTGCCGGGGACCCGGGTCTGCAGCCCAGCTCCGGCGGCGGAGCCCCTCCAGGGCGCGGAGGGGGGGAGGCGCGCCTGGGCGCGGCGCGAGGAACGGGAGCGAGGGGTCGCGCCGGGGCCGCCGCTGGGCCCGCAGGACGCCCCGCCCCGCGCGGGATGCCCTCCCCCGACGCCCCCGACGGCCCGCCCCGCCCGTGGCCCCAGGCCCCGCCCTCACCGTGGTACTCGGCCCACTTGTAGCCGCGCACGATCTCCTTGCTCTCCCCTGCCGGGGCCGCGTGGACCCGAATCAGCACGTACTTGAACACGCCGTCGGGATCGATGTCCACGTCGGGGACCTGGGAAAGGTCCGCCGCCGCCATGTTTCCGGGGGCGCGCCCGCTCCTGCGGCCCGCGGCCCTACCCTACGCACTCGCGCTGCGCCGGCAGGGCGGGGGGCGGGCTCTGGGAGTCGGCGGCCAATCCCGCGGCGGCAGGCAGGCCTGGCCCTCAGCCGCAGCCAATCGTGCCGCCGACCCGCAGCACCGACTGGCCAATCGCAATTCAGCTACAGCACCGACTGGCCAATCGCAATTCAGCTACTTGCACCCGCCCCTCCCCCCGGGACCACGCGGGTCCCACTTAAAGGGGAAAGTGGAACCCGGAGTGGGTGGTGGTGAAAACCAGCGGACGGAAAACTTCGTTTCTAGCAGAGTCACGGGCTGGTGACAGTCCCCCTGGGAGGGGGTAGGCGGCCCTTGAGGCCGGAGGAACGCGCGCCGGCTCTGACGGCCTCCCCCACCGTAACCAGCGGCCTCCCTGCCGGGCCTCCCCCGCTGTCCGAGGGCCGCCCTCCGCCGTCCCGCCCGCCACCCCGCACAATGAGGCAGCAGTGGTGACATTCGAGTTGTTTTTACTTCGTTCGAAAAGCGCTCGCCCTCTTAAAACATCCCGGGCCAGGGTCCTTCCTGACCCGCCGGCCCTCAGGCGGGGCCGAAGGCGGAGACCCGATTTGGGAGGGAGAGAAGGCGAGTGGGAGAAGTGGGGCGCGTGGCCGGTGCAAAGGCGCGGGGCTGAGCGGGCGCGCGGGCGTGTGAAGGAGGGAGGCGAGGGGGCCCTGTGAGGGGAGAGAGCCGGGAGGCGTTCATCATTTAACCCGATGGATGCTCCCTTTCAGCCCCAATGCGGTGCTGGGAGCTCCAGGAGGGCCCTTGCGGGTGCCCGGCCTCACCCCCTCTCCCGGTCCCTTGACCTTCCTGGAGCCGGGCCGGAGCCAGGATGCACTCCTGGGGAGGTCGGGGGCCGAGGGCCACTCGAATGTGCGCTCCCGAGGGCCGAAGCCGGGCCGCTAGACTCACGTTTCCAGTTGGCAACACCGGGGACCTCCAGACAGAGCGCAGGGGTGGGGAGGGCTGTTGTGCAATGGCGTCCCCACCCGTTCGGTGGACCCCTACACTGACCAACTAACTGGTTCCCTCACCTGCTCCCACCCAGGATTTTCCCCACCCAATTCCCATCTGAGAAGCCCGTCCTGACTCTACGCCAGCGGGTCGGAGCTCTTCCTGCAGTTCCCCCCACCCGCTCATCCGTCCTCTGCACCTGTTTCCTGCCTCCCTGTGAAGTTAGAGCCTGCGCTGTTGTTTGCAGCCCTGCTCTGTCCTGGCACCCACCTTGGGCCATCCTGTCGGGTGTGAGCCGGCAGCCTGACTCATGCCCAGCCATGTCTCAGCTCTGGACCAGCGCCCCACCCACACCCTCTGCTTCCCCTGCCAGTGTCTTCCTCTCCTCTGGCTGGGTGTCTTGCGCCTTGGCTGAAGACCTCCGAGTACCCTTCCACTGCTGCTTGCCCAGTCCCTCCTGCAGAGCCCAGGCCAGGGCAGCCTGTGGTGAGGGGGGGCAGGCGGGCAGCACTGAGAAACGTCTGTGCTCGGGGACCGGCTGTGTCCTGGGACCGGCTGTGCCCTCTTCAGCCAGGACTGGGGCCACTGGAAACGCACCGTGCACCACCAGGGCCGGACGCACTGAGACCAACCAGGGTGTCTTCCAGAGAGGAAAGGCCTCTGAGCGGGACGCATCCTAGACCATAGGAGGCGGGTGGGGAGCGTGTTAAATGGGACGGAACTAGGCTTTGGTCAACTCGGGCTCCTGGACCAGGAAGAACCAGACTTGGGAAGGTTCCAGGCAGGCCCTGCGAACGACAGAGGACACAGGGACCGGATCTGCGCGGCGGGGTCTGCAGTCGTGACCCCTCCACTTGAAGACAGGGATGGGCGGTCCTCAGGCCCACCCCGCCTCCCAGCGGGGAGCACCAAGTGGCCAAGGACCGGCCTCTAGGGAGGCCCGAGGGAGAGCTGAAGAAGGGGGAGCTGGGCTGGACTGGTGGGGAGCTCGCAGGAGAGGAGGAGAAAAAGGCATGATCTGTGGCGAACACAATGGGATAGGACCTGGGCGGAGCTCGAGGTGAAGAGGGCGGGGACTAGGAAAATTTGAGGCGGGGCTCAGGAGAAGCAGGGGCGGGGTCTGAATGGACTGAGCTGGTCCTGAGTGGGCTGGGCGGGGCTCGGGCATCTCTGGGGGCAGGGCCTGAGAGACTTGGGTGGGACTAGAGGACGACCCTGGACAGACTGGGCGGGTCCTAGATGCGTTGGATGAGTCTCTGGCGCGCCGCCGCATCTCACATGATATCATCAAGCAGGTTGGCGCTGGCCACCCAGTCCAGAGCTCGAGGCTCGGAGGCGGCCATGATCATGCACATAAAGGGGCGGCCCGTGCGCCGGTCCGTGGGGTAGATGGTGGTGGGCGTGAAGCGCCGGTTGGCCTCGACGAACTCGCAGAGCTGCTCGTAGACGCGCGGGAACTCGTGGCGCAGGAAGACGCCACGCAGTCGCAGCTCGCGCTGGATGTGGATGAAGGCCACCTCGCGCGCGCGCCGGCCAGCCTCGCCGTCCTGGTCCAGGCCTGCGGTGCCCGGTGGCGGCGTCAGGATCAGCGTCTCCATATCGGGCTCGCGACCCTGCTCCGGGGGCGGCCGTGCGGGACTGCCGGCTGCCAGTGCCACCTTGGCGAACTTGCGCACCGTGGGCCCAGGGCTACGCGGCGCGGGCGCGGGCCGGGTGGGAGCGCCAGGGGGTGTGGCGCCGGGGCCTACGGCCACTGACACGCTGAGCAGGAAGCACTCAGCCGGCTCGTAAAGGCGCCCAGCAGCCGCCAGCTCACGCGCGTAGCTGCCCAGGGGGGCCGCGTGCGTGGCCAGCTCGCGTAGGGACAGGTAGGTAGGTGACATCAGCAGCCCCTCGAGGCCAAAGCGCAGGAAGTTGTCCGCGGAGCCGGGGCTCGGAAAGCCCAGGAAGAGCACGCCGCGGCCGCGCGACAAGAAGCCAACACGTGCGATGCGCGAGAAGGCGCGGTGCACCGGACCGCTGTCGCGGCAGAACTGCAGCACGTGGCGGCACACGCTGCCCACGCGGCCATACACGCAGCGCGCCTTGTGCGCGTCCCAGTCCTCGCGGCGGCACAGGCGGGAGCAGTAGTAGGTGTAGCAGCTGTGACAGGACTTGAAGTAGAGGCAGGCATTGAACATGGTCTCGGTGCGCCGGCAGCGCGCGTTGGAGCAAGTCATCAGGTCGTCTTCGTCCGCGCTGGGCTCCGGGGACGCGTCAGCCGCCTGCCCCGCGCCCGCGGGCTCCTCGGCACTGCCGGCCGACCCCGGTGGCGAGCGCGGCGCCAGCGCGGGGGCCGCGGGGGCCCCAGGGCCCACGGGCCGTGAGTCCAGCAGGCGGCGAAGCTGGCGGCCTAGGCTGTCAGCCGCGGGGTCAGCAGCTTGACCGGCCAGGGGCCGTGAGTCGATCACCAAGTCAGTAATGAGTTCGTCTAGCTGCTCGAGGCTGCGCTGGCGGCCCGAGGTGGGGCCGTCGGGGGCGACTGGCGGGGGCGGCCGCGGGCGGCCCCCCGGCAGTTCCCAGCCCCTGGTGGTCGGGCGCTCGGCGGCGCGCAGATCGTTGTCGGTGATTGTGATCTCCGGGGTGACATACCAATTGCGGCCCGGGCCCTCGCCCACTCGGCCCTTCTCAGACAGCGATGTCTCAGACAGTGACAGCGCTGCATAGCGTCTAGGCGAGGTGGACAGGTTCACGACGACTGGCTGGCGCCGGCCTTCTGGGGATGTGCCCAGTGGCTCCCGTGCCTCTCCCCCCAGCAGGTTCTCATAGCTGCGGCCGCGTCCCAGGGGGTCCTCCCGGCGCCGCCCAGACGCCAGAATGTTGTCCCAGGAGCGTGAGTAGTGGCGTCTATCGGTGGCCAGCCGGGGCGGGCTGGTGCCGGTGCCGCCGTGCCATGAAGCGAGCAACGGGCCAGGGTCTGGGGGGGGCGCCACCTGCAGGGTTCGGTAAGGCAGTGGGCCCCAGTCGCCCCAGGCCAGGCTGCCGCGTGGATGTGGGTAAGTCCGCGCCAGGACGTCGCGGTCTCGGTACCGTCCTAAGTCCTCCGTGTAAAAGGTTCGGGTGGCGGGGTGGGCCTGGGGCTCCACAGGGGGATAGCGCGGTCCCCAGGGCTGGCCGTAGGCTCTGGGGGCCTCTCCATAGTAGGAACGGGAGGGCGGTTCGTGGACAGGGAAGGTGCGTACTTCTCCTGCATAGTAGCCGCCCCCACGCCTTGGACTGGGCCCGGGGATCTCCTCGGGCTGGAAGGGCCTGGGGAAGTAGCTGTCAAAGGGAGGGCCTGGGCTGGTCATAAAGCCGCTGGGGTGGCCCTCCGGTTCCTCCGTGTAGAAGAATTGAGTGGGGACCGGCGGGGTGGTAAAGGGCATATTTCGGCGCTCCGCGTAGTCCCGGGGCCCAGGCAGGGGCCCATCACAGTACAGCGCTCGGGGATCCGCGCTGTAGGAGTCACTGGGAGTGGGAGTGCGAGACAGAGCCACATGGCGAGGCCCGGGCACCGTGAGACCGTGGAACTGAGGGGCGGCGCGGGCCCAGGGTGTGGTCTCAATGGGCCCGCAGGGCCTCGAGCCCCGGGCGGCGTGCTGTAGCACTGCGTCGTCGGGTTTGATGTCCAGGCGGCAGCGGACATGAGGAGCAGGCCCAGTGGGTGGCTCGGGTGGGGCACAGCGGCCGGAAGCGGCGCATAAGGGCGCGATGCGGCCCGGGCCGCCCCGTTGCGGCTGCAGCTTGATGGGATGCAGCTCATTGGCGAGCGCGCGCAGCGCGGGGTATGTGGGCTCCCGGCGTGGTGACCCCTCGGCCCGCGCTGCTCGTTGGACATCCCGGCCTCGGCGCGGCAGCACTGTAGGTGAGGTGGGCGCGGGCGCGGGTGCGGGCGCGGGCGCGGGCGCGGGCGCGGGCGCTAGGCCCGGAGGCGCGCGTGGCGTGCTCTTGGAGCGGGCGCGGCGCCGGGGTTCGCTGTCGCGGGGCCGGGCACGCGGTGCTGGGGGCTCCGGTAGGGCCTCCATGGCCGCCCCATCCAGCGCCTCCAGGAAGTCGAAGCTGCGGCAGTGGCGCTTGTTGAAAGGCACGGGAGCAGCAGGCCGGGCCATGGAGCGCTCACATGGCGGGCGCGTAGACGAGGGCCCCGGGGCCGCCACCTTGATGTCCTGGTACACGGTCGACACCAACAGGTCTGGCGGGTCCGTGCGGGTCATCTTAAAAGAGGTCCCCAGGCTGGCGGCTGCAGCTCATTCGGCCTTGTGGGGCTTTCGCCCTGGGGGGGGGGGGGGAGACATGGGTCAGAGTGGCCCCTCCGCAGCCCAGGCCCCGCTACCCCCTGCGCTGGACCGACTTACCTGGGGCGCAGTGGGTAGAGCAGCCCTGGCTTTGGGCCTTGGCTGAGGCTGCAGACACTTGCTCCATGCTGGCGGCTGAAGCCCCTGCAGAAGGAACCCAGCTGTCCAGCCACTCAGGTTTCCCCCATCTACCGTGGTGGCAGACTTGGTTAGACCCCCTTTCCTGGTGCAGAACGGGGTAGGAAGGGTAGGAGTGTTGTCCCAAGGCTGCCCCCTGGTGCCCAAGGATGTGAGCACATTTGGGGCCTTACCTACAGACTTTATTGCTGCCGGCTCCGTTACCCACTGGTGACAGAAGTGCCCTCCGAGTGCACAGTGCAGAGTGAGCCCTCCCCTGGCCCTAGCCAGCTCTGCACAGTCACTGAGTCTCCTACTCCACCTGCCGAGAGGCTGGGCTTGGAACCCCTCCCCCAGCGCAGCAAGGGCTGCTACTCTGGGAACAGCTGCCTGCTTCAAGCCCCAGTCCTGAGGCCCCAGTGGGCCCTGAGGTGGCCCCATCAGGTCCAGGCATGGCCCTTAGGCTGACAAACTGGTCCATCCCACCCTTGACATCAGGTATGGTTCCAGCCAGAATAATGTCCCCAAACAATATACCTGGGCCCCCAAACCCTCTTTTCTTTGCAGAAACCTGACACCAGCTATCTTGGGGTGGTTGAAACCCCAAGCTCTTTGAGGTTTCATGACAAGCTGAGAGAGTGACCCCCAGTTTTGCAGCGTGTGCACCACAACCTGGAAAACAGGCAGAGGCTGCAAGACCACGTGGGGGCATGTGAGCTAGGGCTTATGGCTGCCCCTCTTCCTCTGAGTAGGGTACTTGGCCAGGAGGCTGCCAGCTGAGCAGGCAGAGTGGTGGGTGGGCTAAGCTCCACCCCCTTTCTCAGGAGAGAGCCCTCCCCATAGCATCTCGGGAAGGCTCCATGGAAACCCGAGGTTCCACGCCCCCGCGATGCCAGCTGGGCTGGGGTCCACCCTCTGTACCAGGCTCACATTCAGACTTGGGCCACCAGCCCCCTGTGGCGCCAGGTCCTGGACAGGCTGGAGAGGGGCTCAGATGGTGCTGAGAGGGCCCCACCTCCTCACACAGCCTGAGCAGTGTGCTCCAGGGTGAGCTGGGGGGAGGGGGATGCTAGGCCCTCACCAGTCAGGACCTCTGATCGGGTGGACCCCTCTGTGTCCCAGGTGTGCAAGGGGCCTCCTGCCAGCAGGGTTGCTCTTCTGGGTCAGGGCCACCAAGGTCCAGTGCCTGTCCCCATCCCAGCCTGGCATCCACCACAACTCTGTCCCTGGTTTATAGGACCATCCCCCTCCCGCCCCCTTCCAACCATCCTAAGCTCAAAGTCAGACCGGAATTGGGGGTCATGGCAGGGTGAGGTGAGGCTCCGCCCCAGGGAGGTGACAGCTTGGCCTTGCCACTGCCTGGTGAGGACGACACCCCCCCCCCCCCCCCCCATGGGGATGGGGTGGTCGCCCTGCTTGTGTCCCAAGCCTAATGAGTTTCGGGGGCGGCCCTCCCCACGGCACAACCTGTCCCCCAGTCCCCATCCCCGAGCAGCCCAAGCGGGATGGCCGGGGGCGGGACCCCCATCCTTGCGGGCGCCCCACCCAAGACTCCGCGCGTGGGGCAGCAGTCTCCGACCCCTTACCTGAGCTCCGCTCCCCCGCCAAACCCGCTCGGCTGTGCAGGCCCAAGCCCGCCCGCCGTCCCCCACTACGCGGCGTCTCCGCTGCATCCGCACCGCGTCCCCGTTACCGGCAGAAGCTTCGAGGCAGCGGAGCGGAGGCCGTCCGGCCGCTCAGTGCTGCCCCCGATGGCGGCCGGCAGGGTTGCACTTAAAGGGACCGCGGCCTTGGGCCTGGGACCCACGTGGCCCGCTGCTTGGCACTGGTGCTGTGCTGGGCGCTGCGTGAGGAGCCCTCTGGCGCCCATAGGGTGCAGGCCTGAGGTTTAACCAGGGGACCTGCCGGTCCTGCCAGCTCCCACCTGTCAGGGCATGGGAGCAAGCCTCTGGGCTTCGGACAGCTCCCATGATCCACACCTGGGGTTGGGCCCAGGCAGGAGCATATGGGCTGCTCTCCACCCGCCCTGCTGGCTGTGATGCAGTGCTGGAGGCGCCAAACTCTCTGCAGGTACCTGGGGCCATATGGCCCCCAGGCTGGACTGAGGCCTGAAGCCTTTCCCTAGGATGCAAAACCTCTCCCAGGCACCCTTTCTCCCCCATGTTCAGTGTCCAGGCAGGCAGGGGCTGTCACTGCCCAGGGCAGGTCTGCATGTGGCCCACTCCAGCCCTGCCAGTCACCCCTTAACAAGATGCTGAGCCGGGGGACATTCCAGCTGGGCAGGAGTGGATCACTGACACCTTCCGCTCCGGAGGGTGGGACCTGTCCCACTGTGGGTCCATGAGATGTGGGGCCTGGGTAAGTTCATGACATTCGTGGGCTCCACAAAGATGGTGACCTCACAGGCTGTGGGCTAAGGGAAGTCCCTACATGACAGCTTGGTGCTTGCTCAGTGACTGCTGTCCCACTGCCCCCCGCCCCCCAACCCCAGGTTCAAAACTCTAGGAACAGGCCCAGCTGCTGTGGCTCCGTGGTGAGCATCGACCCTGCATCAAGAGGTCGCTGGTTCAATTCCCGTCAGGACACATGCCCAGGTTGTGGGCCTGATCCCCAGTGGGGGCGTGCAGGAGGCAGCCAGTCGGTGTTCTCTCTCATCGATGTTTCTATCTCTCCCTCTTCCTTCGTCTTTCTCTAAAATCAAGAAAAAAACCAAAAAACTCTAGGAACAGAAATTAGGGAAAGGGAGGGTTATCTGACTGGGAGGGGGTGCCCAGCCTGCCCACTCCTGGAGGGAGGGGCAGAGACAGTGTCAAAGCCATTACCATGGCAACTATTGGTGGGTGGGGCTGGGGCTGCAGGCAGCCTGGACGGGGCAGAGCTGAGAGATTCCTGGAGGGAGTAGGGAGGTAGTTGGGTCAGGATGAGGACGGCTGCAGGCGGGCAGAACACAGGACACACGCCTGCCCTCAGAGAGCTGGGCACTTCCGTGTAGTCCTGGGTGGACGTTGATGGACATAGGGGCATGCTGGCCCGGCCTGGACAGCACACGGCTCTTGTGGGCTGGGCCTGATGGGAAGTCCTCCAAAGACCACTCCTGGCCAGTGGTGCTTGAAGGTGGCCTATCCCAGCGGGCAGCAGCCCTTCTGGGAATAAAGGCTCTTTGGACCAACAGGAAGGTGGCCAGGGGCAAAGGGGGCCTGTAGGCGAGTCCCAGCCGCCGCCCTGGCGCCGAGCAGTAGGAAGCAACACACACAGGCAAGCAGTAAACAGGACTTTATGGTTGGAGTCGAGTGTGGAAGGAGAAAAAGGAAATGAGTGAGGACATTCTGGCTCCGCTGGTGGCGCGCGAGCAGGTGCGACGCTGGACACGGTGCCTGGGAAGAGCCTCCCCCAGGAATGCGCGGCACTGCCCAGCGTCCGCAGACGTGCCGAGGGCCCGGTCCAGCGGTGGGCAGCCTGGTGGAGCTGCGCAGGAAGCTGAGCCTGCCCGCATGCGGTGGGCGGGGACCAGGGCGCTCCGGCCTTTGTAAACAGCCTCGCCAGCCTCCTGGGCCTCAGCCCCTCCCTGAGAAGCAACGGCCGGTGCCCGCTGCCCACTCCCTGCAGGGCGGCCCAGAACCCGCAGCGAGTACGCAGTGTGCGTGCGCCCGGGCAGCGGCCAGGTCTAAAGCTCCTCGTAGTCCCCGCCCCCGCGGAGATGGCCGCCCGGGGCCCCGCCCCCAAGGAAGGCCTCCAGTTCGTCCACGGTGGTCCTCTTGCCCCGCCGCCGGTCCTCCCGGCCCTCCTCCTTGCTCTTCTTATGCTTGCTCCTCTTCTTTGCAGCCCTTTCTTCCTCCTGGGGGTGCAGCACGGGGTCACGGGAGCGCCAGGAGACAGCCCCCCCACTGCCCGCAGGGCACTTGGGAGAGGTGTACCTCCTTGCTTTTCTTCTTCTTCTTCTTCTTCTCCTTGGAGGGAGGCCTGCCCTCTTTGTCTGCAGAGGACACCCGGTGTCAGCTCCCCCATGTCGGCCAGGTCCAGCGGGAGCACCACGGGGCCCACACCCACTGCCCCTCGGCCTCAACTGCCGGGGCCCTCGTGCCCTCGGTGACAGGCAAACACTCCAATTCCAGGACAAGCCATTCTGGGTCGCGTCCCAGGTGACACTGCTAGTTGGGGCAGGGCTGGGCTGTGCTCAGCAGGCCTGGAGACCATGCCAGGGTTTCCATGGAGGGCTGGACTCTGGGACGAGGACTGTTAACCAGCTCCCAGCAGCACCAAATGCCTCCAGTGTGGACAGTCAGATCCCTCGGGCCTGCCCCCGACCCCAAGAGTCTGGGATGTCATCGGTGCTGGACCCCAGGCAGGGCTGAGCAGGGCCTGAGGAAGGGCAGCCCTGCTGCTCTGAGGGTCCCCTGGGTAAAGGGGACAGACAAGCAGTGGCTCAGGAATGTGCCCAGGCCTCTAGCTACCTTCACCGCTGCTGGCCTTGTGGCCCGTCTCCTCGAGCCCCAGCCCGAAGAGATCCACGTCGCCCTTCACTCTGAAGGGCAGGGCGGAGGGCTTGGGGGGCGGGGGCATCTGCGCAGGGCCGGCCTCCTCATCTGTCACGTCAGAGGGGTCCTCTCGCACTGGGAACTCATCCTGGAGGGGCAGGCAGATGGGGCCGCTGTGTCACCATGTGGTTAGGCCCTACCATTTCCCGGGCAGGTGACCAACCGCCTTGAGGGCCCCCCATCCGACCCAGGGTCGGGGACAGCAGTGCCTGAGTATGGCGGCCGGGGTGCTGAAGCCCTCCGTCACCAGGATGGGCAGACGGGCCTGGGCTCGGGACGGTCACGCTGGCTCACCTCCGGCTCTGGCATCACTGTGATGCTGCCCAACATCTGGGAGCTCTCACCCCGCCCCCACCGCTCCGTCCCGGACATGTCCTTGGGCTCCTCACCGCTCTCCGCGGAGTGTCTAAGTCGCTCTCAAAGTCAGGGTCATCCATGACAAAGGACAACATCTGGGCGGCAATGGGGCCCTCGGGGTCACTCTCTGTCGACGCTGCTGACCCATCCTTCCCGTTCTTGGGCTCGGGAGAGGAGCCCTCAGCACGGCGCCCTCGTGGCTCTGCGGTTCTGGGAGCTGCACCCCTCTGTGGCTTTGGGGCCTCTGTGGAGGACCTTCAGGACAAGGAGGGGGTCAGGGGTGTGTTCCACTCCTCCTTCTGGGGCCCCTCCCGAGGACCCCAACATACTGTTGGGTCTCTGGCCTGGAGCACTTCCGGGGGGCCAGGGCAGTGGCCTCCTCTTTGGAAAGAGTGCTGTTCTCGCTGAGCACGGGGCCTGCGGGCGGCTTATCCTCAAGGTCCACGTCGTCCTGGAAAGGTGCCACCGTTGGGCGCTCTCCAGGGGCCTCCCCATCGCTGCGGGGGAGGGGCAAGGAAGTCAGTAAGGAAGGGGCGGGGCACCCGGCTGCCCATGTTGAGCGCCGGAGTCGCAGGCGCCCACAGGCACTGGACACCGGCTGCTGCCCTCGTGCTCGGCTCCCGTGGGGACTCGGCGAGGGGCCTCCTCCGGGCCCCTCTGGGATGCTCTGCGGAGGCCCCTCGGCTGTGGGGCAGCGCGGAGGCCTGCAGGAGGGCGTGGGGTGGGTCCAAGGAGAAGGAAGGGGACGCCGCCTGCTCCTTGCAGGACGTGGGGTGAGGGGGCCCACACGTGGTGTTGGACACTCGGGCAGGGCATGCGGCCGGGCCCAAGGGCAAGGCTGAAGTCAGCTGCTGCCCCAAACGGTGCCATCGAGGGCACAGGTCTGTGGCGCACAGGCCTGGCACCACCCTTACCTGTCACTGTCCCGAGGGACCTCGGCCTCAGCTGTCCTCTCGCCCCTCGGGAGGGCTCCATCATCCAGGAAGCTGTGGTCAAAGCTGTCTGCAGGGACAAACTCCTCCACGTCCCGGACTTGCGCGGCAGGCTCTGCAGCTGGGGCCGGATCTGTGCCCACAGGGCCAGGACGCAAGCAGGGGTTGGCCTGTGACTAGGCATCAAGCTGCCCACCCAGGAGGAAGGGGACCCTGTCCCGGTCTGAGGAGCTCACAGGGCCAGGGTGATGATGCCATCACCACCTGGGCTCCCACACCTCCTGAGGGGCCGCCCGGGCCTACCTGGGGGGGGAGGGGCCACCTCAGGAGCTGGTGAGGTCCCAAACAGCCGGGAGATGATGCTGCGTCGTGGGGCCGGAGCGGGGACCACAGGGTTTGCCGGGGGTAGAGGAGCCTCCGAGGGGGACAGCGGGGAGGGGCAGGCTGCGGGGGCGTGGGGGGGCAGCGGTGGGGCTGGCTGGGGCGTGCTGGGGCTGGAGCTCCCCGTGGACATGGCGCTCAGAGGGACCACAGGTGACTGGGAGCCTGAGGACGGGCTCTGCCCGTTGGCCGCCAGTGGGGACGCGTGGCCGCGGCTGCGCGCCTCCATCATCTCGAGGAAGCTGGGGGCACAGGGCAGCAGTGAGAAGCCGGCTCCCTCACCTGGTTCCCAGTGAGGGGCGCTCCTGTCCTCGCTCAGCAGCCCTCACACCCACCCCTTCGTCGAGCAGAGCACCCGAGGGAGAGGGGGCTGGGCTGGCAGCCAGCCATGCCCCTCCCCACCGTGCCCTCCGAGCCCGTTCGGAAGGCAGGACTGAGCCTGGGACAAGCCCTGCTGTCCTGGCCCGAGGGCCACTGTGTTCTCTTCAAGCGGGCTTTCCCACAGGCCTGGACCCTGTCTGCAGGCGGGGGCCCGGGGGCCCGGGCTGAGCATCTCACCCTCACTTTGGACTCTGGGGTTGGGGTCTGGCGCAGGCTGGGAGTGCAGTCCAGCCTCTGGTCCCACAGCAGGGCCGGCTCAGCCCTCAGCCAGCCCCTCTCCTGTGGCTGTGGCCCGGGGACACCTGAGCAGCCCCAGCTCCCCAGAGGCACCGTCCTGGGCAGGGGTGCCAGTGCTGCCTCCCAGGGACAAGGTGGTGAAGCGGGCACCCAGCAACCCGTGGAAACGCCCTTCTGCTTCCAGGCCAGCAGCCACACGTGGCCCTGGGGAGCCCCCAGGGAGACTCCTGCTGGGGGAGGCAGGGGTGCGAAGGTCCTGCTGGGCTGCAACCAGAACCGGCGCTCCCGGGCCATGAGCACAGCTGGGCCCGGCACTCAGGGCAGCTCAGGGGCCGCCGCCCAGGAGCCAGCGCCCTTCCCAGAGCTGTGGGGCGCGGCCAGGCTGCTGCCGGCTGGAACCCCAGGACCCCGACAGAGCAGAGGTCTGCTCAGCAACAGGCCGGGCGGGGACGCTGCCCTGCTCTGGACCCCTCCCTCTCTGTCCAGGACCGGAAGGTTCCATTCCCCCCCATAGCCCTCCCAAGGCTGAAGACTCGAGCTGGTCTCGTCGGGGCCTTGGGTGGAACATGACCTGGTCAGTGGCAGCTGGCACCACGGCCATGCGGCCAACAGGCGAGGCTGCTCTGGGCAGAGGCAGGTGCAGTGACAGCAGCTGCCCCGTGTGCCCTTCAGCTCAGAGGCACCTGGGTCCAGTTGGGACAATTACAGAGCCCAGCTCTAACGGGCTCGGTGGGTAAAGGAGGCAGATGCTGAGGCGCCCGCCCGCCCGCAGGAGCATCTGCAGGACCAGGAAGCTCCTCTCCAAAGCCAGGTGGCTGCCACCGCGATGTAACCGCCGTGTTCTAGGCGAGGGCGCACGCCACTCGTTCATCACTGACACAGAACCCGACTCAGGGCAGAAGGGGCTGCGGGCCTCAGGGCGCAGCGGGGCCACCCTCACCCCCTCCTGCAGGGCCTGAGCTCCGTTCTCCCAGCACCACCTCCACTGTGGCAACGACCCGGATTCTTGCAGTCACACAGCCACCCTGGCCGACGGGTCTGCTGGGATGGTGGCGCTGCCCGTCTCGCCAACGCAGACCCCGACGCTTAGCCCTGCCTCCGGTCTAGCCTCTGGGCCACCCCGGGCTGCCGTACATGCCATAGTTCTGGTCCTCGGTCTCCTGCTGCACCGACAGCTCCTCCAGCGTGGCGTCGATGTCCAGCTGGTTGGTCTCCAGCTGCCGCAGCAGGGTCTCTCTCTGCAGGACGGGAGCAGGTGCCCGAGAGGAAAAGCGCAGTTGCAGTGACTGCCCCTCCCCACCTGTGACCCCACTCGGCCAGCCACTGATGAGCCAAGGGCAGCCAGCACGGGGCACGGAGACCAGGAGACCCACACAACCGCATCCGCATGGCCACGTGACACCTGAGGTGCTCGGCGTAGCTACGATGACGATGTCAGTGCCCATTTACACAGGTGCCCCAAGGGCCGCCAGGGCCAGCCCAGCGAAGTCTCAGTGGTGATGGCGCCCCAGGTTAGCTGCCACCTGCGTGCGAGGGAGGGGCGTCCCTGTGCCCGAGCAGCACCTGGGAGGGCAGGGCAGTGCTCACCTGGAGCTGCAGGAACGGGATGTTGAAGAACTTATGAAGGTACTTCAGGCCGAAGCTGTTCTTCATGGAGGACTCAGCATAGCGGAAGTAGGAGGAGCCCGGTGGTCTGCTCGCGGAGAGAAGAGAGAGGCCCTGGTCAGAGAGTCAAGGACTGAGCCAGGCTGCCCTTCTGCCCCATCCTGTTTGAGGTGCCTTCCGCAGGTACTTGGGCCCAGAGCCAAGCCTCGGTGGCTCCGCTCAGCCAGGTGCCTGCAGGGTGCTGCCTCCCCTGGGCTCATGCCCCCTCCCCGCCCCGCCCTGTGTGGTGCCGGGAAGCCAGCTGCCTGCACTCTCGGTCCTCAGTCTGCTCCCTTGGGCCGAGCCCGCCCCCCGCCCGCCCTCCCGCAGGATCCACCCCGCCTCGGCCCCGTGAGGGCTCCCGCAGGCCCACCTGTCCAGGCTGTCCAGGAGGCCGCGCACGTCGTCGGGCAGGACGACGCGGTGCTCGCCCATGTCGCGGCAGTTGCCCAGCACACACACTGGCACGTGGGTCGGCACCTTGGGCAGCTCCCGAACGACGTAGCTGAAGGTCCTTCAGGGCACACGTGAGGAGAGACCCGCCTGAGTTCCAGCCCTGAGCCCAGCCCCGGGGAGCGCACGTCCCGGACCCAGGGGTCACGGGGAGCACAGTGCACGGCGGCACCCCCAGTGCCGCCCCGATCCACAAAGCAGCCTTGGTCTTGCCACTGCAGCTGCTCGAGGGTCTCCTTCCTGCGCATATCCTTTCCGGACTTTTGTACACGCAGAGGCCCGAGGGCTCCCCGAGGTGTCCCTTCTGCTGGCTCAGGGCTTCGCTTCTCAGTGACGTGAGGGTGCCGTACGGCCCCTGGCACAGGGCCCCCCCTCCGGGGCTGTGCCGTAGGGAGTGACCAACGGGAGTGTGACAACTGCCCCACCAGAGGAGGCCGAGACAAGTCAGAAGTGCGCGCACCGCTTGCACCCTGGCTCCCCTTCTTCACCTGCACGTGCACTGCAGCTGGCAGAGGCCAATGGCGCCTGCCCTCCTGCCCTGGGGACGGCCGTGCAACAGGCATGACCTCTCACCCAGCAAAGCTCCAGGACCCCACAACGATACGGAGCCGCCGTGAACTGTCCACGCGGAAGCTCACAGGAGAGTCACTGGACTCCCTGGCCCTGGGCTTCCCTAGCACGACCCCAAGGAGCACACAGCTGCTTTTTGTGCAGATGCCTATGTCTCCAATGTGAGGGACGCGGCCCGAGGCACACAGCTGCCGGAGCCCAGCACTGCAGGAGATCAGTGCTCGCGATGCTGGGGGCCGGGCGCCCGTGAGAGATGGACGTGAGCAATGGACGCGGCCCGAGGCACACAGCTGCTGGAGCCCAGCACTGCAGGAGATCAGTGCTCGCGATGCTGGGAGCCGGGCGCCCGTGAGAGATGGACGTGAGCAATGGACGCGGCCCGAGGCACACAGCTGCTGGAGCCCAGCACTGCGGGAGACCAGTGCTCGCGATGCTGGGGGCCGGGCGCCCGTGAGAGATGGACGTGAGCAATGGACGCGGCCCGAGGCACACAGCTGCTGGAGCCCTGCACTGCGGGAGACCAGGGCTCGCGATGCTGGGGGCCGGGCGCCAGCAGCAGTCTGTCCCAGGGGCTAGTCTACGAACGAGTGGGCTCCACGTGCAGTAACAGCAGTAACCCGGAAAAGCAGGACGCGCACCCAGAGGCTGTTTCTAAAACAGGCTGCCAGGCCCTGGCTGGTTTGGCTCAGTGGTTAGAGCATCAGCCTGTGGTCCAGAGAGACCCGGGTTCGGTTCCCGCTAAGGGCGTGTACCTCGGTTGCAGTTTGTCCCCGGCCCTGGTTGGTCGTGCTGGTGGCAGCCACTCGATGTGTCCCTTCACATCGATGTTTCTCTCTCTCTCTCCCTTCCTCTCTCTCCCTCCTGCTCTATCTGAACAAAAAATGGAAAAATGTCCTCGGTTGAGGATTAAAAAAAAAAAAAAAAGGAAAAATGTCCTCGGGTGAGGATAAAAAAATAAAAAATAAATAAGTAAGATAAAACAGGCAGTCAGCTCCGTTTTTGGTGGCACCTCGGAGTGGCCCGAGGCTGCCATGGGAGAAAGGCCACCTGGGGGCTGGCTGTGGCGCAGCTGCCTGGGCTGCACCGGCTGGTGCGCTGGCTCAGAGCTCCCGGTGTCCTCGAGTCGGGAGCCCCGGCGTCAGGCGGGACAGGCACCAAGTCCCACGCTTCCCTGCAGACACATCAAAGGTGTCGTCCCACATGGCTCCACGCAGTGTCCTGAGAGCCGGCGCCCGGCACCCTGCCCTCGCCCGAGCCAGCCTGCCCCTACGGACAGACGCCCACACATGCGGCCAGGGCAGGGCTCTCTGCGCTTAGCTGCCTGCGTGCACAGCCTGCTGGCCCCCGAGAGCTTCTGGTGCCAGTGGTGACGCCAACGTAACTGCACCTGCTGGACCAATGGCATGTCCCTCGAGGTGGTGTGCTATGAGGAGCTGTGATGGTCCCCCGGCCAGCCCCCTTACCACTGCTTGGTGATGTCAAACATCATGACCACCCCATTACAGTTCTTGTACACGTCCAGGAACTCGGCGTCCAGGGCCATCTCAGACTCCGCCTGGGGACAAGAAGGAGTCGGCTATGAGAGACGTGGCTGTGGGTGGGGCCCCACCGGTGTGAACCCACAGCTCCTGGAAAAGGCCGAACAGGACTTTTACAATCTGAAAAGATAACAGCTATGTTCATTTTGGAAAAAATATGTAAGCACAAGACTATTTGGTGTGGGGGCGAAACCTCGGCTTCGAAGAGTCTGGCAGTAACTATTTCAGACTCGGGCCACTTTGACTCTGCCCGACCTGGGTGGGTCTTCTGCACTGGTGCAGCAGCACCTCTCAGTGCCCCGAGCGCACCTGCCAGCAGAGGAGACGTTCGCAGACCTTCCAGGGCACACAGGCCGAGCGGAGCAGCAGCCCACCACACAGACGGGCCAGGTGGCCTTTAACCTTCCTGCATGAAGGGGAGCAGGGAGGCTGCCCACAGCCCGAGGCCGACTGCGGAGGTAGGACAGGAGCAGGGCCCTGGGAAGCGATGGTCAGCCCAACGTCCGTGTCAAAGGCGGTGGCCATGTGCCAGCCCACCGGGAGCCACTCATGGTGTGGAGGCCTGTGTTTAAGACCTGAGGCCTCTGATGGGGGTACGAGCTGGCCGGGTCACTAAGCCCCGCTCAGCCACTCAGACTGCAGAGGGTATGCAGGATCACGGACACGCGATGTGACTGCGGGCAGCCGGGGTCCTGAGAGCCGCTGGGACGGGCAGGCAGAGGGGTCTGCAGAGCGGACGTCCGCACCACCCACACGGAGGACCCAGGCACGATGCCGCTTACCTCCTGGGGGTCGTTCTCCATCTTCAAGCCATCGCCTCGCTTCTTACATTTTCCTTAGTAAAGACACACAGAAGGACCAGGTGGGCTCTCTGTGTCCAAGGATGGCCAGCGGCAGGAGCACCCCTTCCCTGTCCCACTGCCCCCACACCCCAGCCCCACCCTCAGACTGGACGCCCCAGAAGCTGAGCCCCCACACGAAGGCACCAGAGCACCCTTGGGGTGGCCTCCTTGGCAGCTCTGGTTGCCGCAGTCCAGCCCGGAGAGACGCCCCAAAGGGCTGCCGGCAGCTGGGCCGTGAAAACACGGGGCAGGTCTAGGGGTACAGCAGGCTGCCCAGGAGACGCCCGATGCCCCAGCAGGTCTAAGTGTACAGCAGGCTGCCCAGGAGACGCCCCGATGCCCCAGCAGGTCTAAGGGTACAGCAGGCTGCCCAGGAGACGCCCGATGCCCCAGCAGGTCTAAGGGTACAGCAGGCTGCCCAGGAGACGCCCCGATGCCCCAGAAGGTCTGGCTTCAAGTAAGGGCACGTCCTCCGTGAGTGAAGGGCCCCAGCCCAGCCCCTGAGGGGCTGCTTCGGAGCCCACGGCCGCTCCCCGAGCTAGTGCTGAGGGGCAAGCTGGACGCGGGCCTGAGAAGGCCCTGGAGCTAGAGCTGGGCACCAGTGCCTCCAGGTGACACCGCGCCCCCTCCCGGCACAGCTGAGACACTTCTTTCCTTTTTTAAAAATCCTCACCCGAGCCCTGGCCAGTTTGGCTCAGCGGTTAGAGCGTCGGCCTGCGGTCTGGAGAGACCCGGGTTCGGTTCCCGCTAAGGGCACGTACTTCGGTTGCAGTTTGTCCCTGGCCCTGGTTGGTCGTGTGGGTGGCAGCCACTCGATGTGTCCCTTCACATTGATGTTTCTCTCTCTCTCTCCCTTCCTCTCTCTCCCTCCCACTCTATCTGTACAAAAAAAAAAAATATCCTCGGGTGAGGATAAAAAATAAATAAATAAATAAAAATAAATAAAAATCCTCACCCGAGGATATTTTTTTACATTTTTGTTCAGATAGAGTAGAAGGAAGAAACATTGACGTGAGAGAGACACGTCGACTGGTTGCCTCCCACACGACCCCAACCAGGGCTGGGGGACGAACCGCAACCAAGGTACATGCCCTTGACCGGAATCGAACCCGTGACTCATTGGTCCATGGGCCAATGCTCTAACCGCTGAGCCCTGGCGGTTTGACTCAGTGGTTAGAGCGTTGGCCCACAGACCAGAGAGACCCGGGTTCGGTTCCAGCTAAGGGCACGTACTTCAGTTGTAGTTTGTCCCCGGCCCTGGTTGGGGTCATGTGGGTGACGACCAGTCGATGTATCTCTCATGTTGATGTTTCTCTCTCCCTCTCTTCCTCCCGCTCTATATGAAGACAAGTGCAAAAATGTCCTCGGGTGAGCATAAAAAAATTAAATAAAAAATAACCACTAAGCTAGACCAGCTAGGGCACAGCTGAGACATTTCTAACAGGAGGAAGGACTGTTCTCGCCTATACCCCAGACTCAGAGCAGCAGGCTGGGCAAAACTAACAAACAAACCCCCAGAACAAATTGGGGTTCTTTTATTAAAATAACCAACCTGTGCCCTGGCCGGTGTTGCTCAGTGGTTAGAGCATCAGCCCGTGGACCAGAGACATGGGTTCGATTCTGATCAAGGGCACGTACCTCAGTTGGGGTTTGGTCCCCGGCCCTGGTTGGGGTCATGCGGGAGGCAACCCATCAATGTGTCCCTCTCAGTGATGTTTCCCTCCCTCCCTCCCTCCCTCCCTCCCTCCCTCCCTCCCTCCCACTCTATCTGAAGATAAATGGAAAAATATCCTCGGGTGAGGACTGAAAAACCACCTCTGCCTCTTTTCACAGCTTTCCCGAGTCCCACCACCTCTGACCCGTCCACAGCGAACAAGCTGGGGTGGCAGAGAGAAGGCCACTTCCCTCAGCTCAGAAAGGGTCTCACCCACTGCCCCGTGCTCGGGTTCAGGGGTGAGACAGGGGTTCGAGCAGCACAGACCTCGGCCCTGACAGGTGACTGCTGTCACACCTCCGCCTGCCACCGTGCGCGGGGAGCGGGCCCCGGACCCAGAACTACCCGGAACGTCAGCACCGCCCCAGGCCTCCTCTGGCCGGGGCGCCCGCGAGATGCTGCTGCCCCGCCACGCAGTGCGCAGGGCTGGCCCTGTCTGACAGAACCCGCAGAGGCCAAGGACAGGCACACGAGCCGGGCACAGGAGGGCTCTTTTCTTTACAGGACAAAGCATGAAAGAGAAAGTGCTTGAAATAAAGACACTATTTACCTTTGTCAACTACATCCCAGACCTCAACTTTCACGATGTCATCAGTGGCTAAAACGGAAAAGACAAAGATTAGTGCTCAAGGGACCTGCTAGTGTCAAACTAGCTTTCAGGGTCTGTGCAGGTGCCACAGGAGACACAGGTCTCTCCCTGGGTGCTGGCCCAGGAGCTCTGCACATGCTGTGGCCTGGGAAGCTCCCCCCAAGGTGGCAGGCAGGTGCATGGCAGTGGGCCCACCCCCCAGCCCAGGGATTCTGAGGGGAGCCGCGGTGCCCCTGCCTAGGGCGGGGTGGGTGGGTGCAGCTTCTTGTGCTGCCCAAGGCTGCAGTCAGCCCTGCTGCAAGGCCATCCAGTGGTCCCCGGATGCGGCCTGGCGCCACTAAGAGACTCAGAACTCCCACAAAGGTCCCGTGTATCCTGCTGTTGGACCCACTAGATTTCTTCAGTGAAAAGCAATGTTTCAAGGTCTCATGATTCCCAAACACCCGAAGCAGCTCCTCCACCCGCTGGAGGCTGCCAGGCATGCCCTGCCAGAGCCGGGCTTTCGAACCCTGAAGCCGGGCCTGGCTCTGCCCCAGGCCCCCTGCTGGTGGAGCAAGGCCACCGCAGAGCAGCAGCAGCCACCCTGGCTCCGGGGAGGGGGGTGCACCCCGTGAAGCCAGAGCTTTTGCCCTTCCAGGATCTCCAGGCTCAAGAGTGGGGGCCTTGGACCCAGTCCCCCCCACGGAGCCCCTGCCACCCTGTGTGCTTCTCTTGGAGGGGATTTCAGGGCGTCCCAACAGCAACTTTAATGACAGCAGCTCTGAGGTCACCGAGGCCCCACACGTCGTTTCCATGCCAACACCAGGCTGAGGAAGGTGTCTCCGGGGAACCAAGGCCAGGAAGGGCGTGGACGCCAGCCCCAGCCTGCAGGGCAGCCGCGGCCCCCCAGCCCTGCCCGCGCCCAGCCTCACTCTTGTAGTTCCAGTGGATGCTGGTGACCTGGATCTCCTGAGTGGGGATGTACTCCTCCACAAACTTCCTGCCCTGCAGCCGGTGCCACAGCGCGGTCTTGCCCGTGTTCCTGTCTCCTCGGATCACTATCTTCACTGGCGGGAGAGAAGAGGGCAGATCAGGTACACAGACCAGAGCAAAGCAGTCCCGCACTTCACCCACAGCCGCGCAGCTGTCTCCGCACAGACCCCGGCCTGAGTGGCTGGCAAGCGGGGAGGAGCCAGGTGCCAGGGGCAGGCCAGTGGGGCCCGTGGGGCCCTCAGTGCCCCCGGGGCGGTGGGACCTCTGCTCTCCCTCTCTGTTCCACTGCAGAAGACCCAGGAGGCATTTCCTCTCGGGCCGGCGCAGTGATACCTGCTCGGACTTTGCACTCACTGGAAAGTGTCTCCCCTAGGGCTGGACTCCGGCAGGGGCAGGGGCGGGGGCAGGGGCAGGCTGGGCTGCCAGAGCTGGGCGGGGCAGGTTCCCGGGTCCCCGGCGGTTTGCTCTGAACCCGCTTCTCCCCAGCTCTGTATTCCAGTGCCCAATCCTGCAGAGCGCAGGCCTCTGGAGACCACAGGTGGGGTCAGCGCAGAAAGCCCGTGTTCCATCTTGCCCCTTCGACAAGTATTTCCTGAGTGGCCCACGTGAGGAGCCCAGCACGCGACGGGGGACAAGTGAGGGACAAGCGAGGACTGAGGCGGGCCAGGGCCAGAGCCACCGCGCCCGCAGCAGTGTGGACTTCCAGCTGCCCCCTAGAGGAGGCAGGTCCAGCAGGAGGGCAGCTGGCAGAGTCCTGCAGAGCCAGTGGGGGCAAGGACCAGGGGCAGGCTGGGAGCGACACTGGCCGGCGCCACCCCTCCCTGTACCTGATGTTTGGAAGATCAGCAGTATCTTTACTCTTTTTAACACTCACACTCGCTGTAATAAAGTCTAAAGTTAATAAACGTCCTTGTCTTAAACACAGGGACTTCAGAATGCCTTAATTCTGACCTGCCCCTCCGGGGGAGGTGCTGACTTCTGGGGTTTTCGTCTCTCCGTCTGCGTTCCCGTATTAATCATCGTCATCCACAGAAAGTGTGTCAAGACGTCGCCCAGCTCACCAGCTTCTGCGCCTTTGAATCCTGCGGCCCCTCTGAGCTCCGTTTCCATCTGTCTGGAGCAGCCGTTCTCAACCTGTGGGTCGTGACCCCTTTGGGGGTTGAACGACCCTTTCACGCGGGTCCCCTAAAACCATCGGAAAACACATATTTCCGATGGTCTTAGAGACCGAGACACCGCTCCTCTGTCCACCTCCAGGCGGGTCCGCCCACACACAACATGAGGAACAGTAATAAAGGATCGTGGCACTAGGAAGGTTGAGAACCACTGGTCTAGAGTAACCCTCAGGATCGTTCCAGCAAGAACCTGGGCACAGTGAGATGTCCATCTTGGACTGGGACAGCCTCATCAGCTGCTCCCGAACAGCTGTTTACTTGGTGCTGAGTGTGAGGCTGACAGGACTGTCCCAAGGCCACCATGCGACCAGCCACCCCCCTGCAGCAGTCTTTTTGCTCTGGTGGCTTCCACAACTTTTCTTTTTCATTCTGATCTTCCGAAAATATCCAATGACATGCCCAGCTGCAGATGTTTTTAAAACCTTGAACTCAGCCCCGGCCGGTCTGGCTCAGCGGTTAGAGTGTTGGCCCACGGACCAGTGAGTCCCGGGTTCAGTTCCCGCTAGAGGCACGTACCTTGGTTGTAGTTTGTCCCCAGCCCCAGTTGGGGTTGTGTGGGTGGCAGCCACTCGATGTGTCTCTCTCACATCAATGTTTCTCTCTCTCTCTCTCTCTCTCTCTCTCTCTCTCTCTCTCTTCCTCCCTTTCACCTTCCTGTTCTATCTGAAAATATATGCAAAAATGTCCTTGGGTGAGAATTTTAAAAAAAGTAACCAGCCCCTACTTTTAAGTTAAAAAGTCAGATCAATGTCAGAACCTTGGACACTGGCTCAAATAAGCTGAACAAGTGATTCACTAGAAAACTTGAATTAAATCCCCGCAGAAGTGACAAGAGCAGCCCTCACCAAAGAAGCATGTGGCAAAGTAGCTGTTTTACTAGACAGTAACTTTCCACTTCCACTGTCTGCTTTCGTCCGTGAAGACAGTGCAGAAAGCAGGCTCAGCTATAGAACCCACGAATCTCTTTCACCCCCCCCCATTCGATATTAATTCACTCACATCCCCACACATTTCCTGAAAAACAGAATCATTTTCTTTTGAACCAAAAAAGAGCAGCACATGTTTATGGCTGAAGCCAGCGTGCAGCCACTTCTGCAGGGGACATGCTGCCCTCTCGCCCTGCCCCTGTCCTTGCACAGGGATCCAACAAGCTCCCCACGACCCCCTGCTCCTGGGCACCTTGGCCCGTTCCGCAGCAGTCCCTTCTGCTCCAAGCCCGCACAGTTCTCATTCACAGTTCTCAGTGGCCTGCGGGCATGGCTTTCGGAGAGGGCGTCTCTCCGGACCTCACCCGGAACACACCTTCTGCCCCCCCCCCCACCTCCAGCCTGCCCTGTGATCTTGCTCCAAGCTCTAACCCTACCCTGCTCCCACAGCCCTCAACCTTTCACACAGGCCCAGGCTCACTCACTTCCTGTGTTCACTGCGTGCCCTGCCCTCCATCCCCACTGGGATGCAAGCCCCACAAGGCAGAGATCGGTGTCTGGGTTTCCACTGGCGAACACAATAAATATTTGCTGAGTAAATGAACACTAGAGAAGGAAGACCCATAAAAGAAAACGTGGCAGGTCACGGACAGCAGAGGCTCGGCAATTTGCAAATCAGCCCTACTGGGGCAGGTCAAATCATTTGCTAAACTCAGCTGTCTTTTTCCTAAAGGAAAAGCTCTCTTGCCCTAAAATCAACCTCCCAAAGAGTGTCTAGTGAGGAAGAATTCCAGTTCATGTTAAGTTCTAGCCCTGAAATCCAGTGTCCCATGGCTTTGCTGTGAGAACGCAGTCCTGGGCACCAGCCGTCCTGGGCACCAGCCGTCCTGGGCACCAGCCGTCCTGGGCACTCCGGTGCCTGGCACTTCCTCACCGGGACGCTGCCCCACGGAAAGCGTCTCCACAAACAAGGCTGATGAATTGTCTAGTTGCCAAAGAAAGGGTGGACCAATTCAGGTCGCATTTTTCCTTCCACTCTACATGCAAATGACTTCCACACGCAAGGACGCCAGGCGTCTGTGACAGGGCTCACTTCTCATTATTACAGCAACCGAACAGAAAATGCCTACTTGCCCCAGAAGGACAATCTTCTGTAAGAAAAACATACTTGGAAATCAACTCTTACCTATAAAACCCTGAGTCTCTAACGATCACACTGCTGGTTTGTTCCTCTAAGTAAGTCACCTCGGAAAATAAACTAGAAACATTCTATTCTAATAACAAAGGAAGTTAGACATTTTGAAATTGCATATTATTCAATTACAGAAACAACATCCCTCTCGATTTTAATTCAGGTCCAAATCTCAATTTCTGTCCATCTCAACGCCTTTCATTTAGTCTCAGGAGATCATAACCTGTCCCTCAACTACCTGAGGTTGGGGTGTCTTCTCTGGACAACTCCACTGCCCCTTTCCTTTGGCCCTTTGGACACTAGGGGATGTATGTGGCCACCAGGGAGGGCTTTCCAGAGGGAACAGTTTCCAGTTTCCAGGTCTAATTTCCAAAGGACTGGAGTTAAGTTTGAAATACCACCATACGTAATAAAATTAAATAGGGGACCCACACGTAGATTTGAAAGATTTGTGAAATATATATTTTGAATTATTATTCTCTCCTCTGAATGGGAGAGAAATACATACAAAACTGTGAGTGGAGCCCTCCCTGGCTGGTTTGGCTCAGCAGTTACAGTGTCGGCCTGTGGACCGAAGGGTCTCGGGTTCGATTCTGGTCAAGGGCACACACCTGGGTTGCAAGTTCGATCTCTGGACCTGGTTGGGATCATGCAGGAGGCAGCAAAACAATGTGTCTCTCTCACATCCAAGTTTCTCTCTCTCTCTTTCTCTTTCCCTCCCTCCCTCCCACTCTCTCTGAAAATCAATGAAAAAATATCCTCAGGCGAGGATTAAACAAACAAAAAAAGTGCCTTGGCCAGTTGCTCAGTGGTTAGCGCATCTGAGCATCAGCCCTGATTCCAGTTAGGGGCACGTACCTCACTTGCAGTTCGGTCTTTGGTCCAGGTCGAGTGGGAGGCAGCTGGTCCATCACATCATCCCCCCCCCCAATCTATCTGAGGATAAAGGGACAAAAATATCCTCGGGTGAGGATTAGGAAGAAAAAGTGATTGGAACTCTCTCTCTCTCTCTCTTTTTAATCCTCACTGGAGAGCATGTTTTTCATTGATTCTAGAAAGAGAGGAAAGGAGAGGGTGAGAGAGAGAGGGGGAAACATCCACGTGAGAGAGGGACACGGATGGGCTGCCTCAGCTGCCCCTGTCCGGGTGGAACCTGCAGCCTGGGTACCTGCCCTGACTACAGGCCGATGCTCCCACCCACTGAGCCGCACCGGCCAAGGCAGAAATGACCTCTGTCTTAAACCTGCACCCAAGTTTTTCCAGCCATTTCTTAATGTCACACATCATCACCGAAATACGTCATCGAAGACTGGAGGGCTCCCCTTAAAGGAGCAAAGAGGGGAGAAGGCCCCAAACCTGCAGCATGTAGGGAAGCACTGGAGAGGGACACGACCTGAAAGGACATTGGGAGCCTATAAATACTGCTAGGAAGAGGCCGGCGAGACGGACACACTGAAAAGAGGTCAAGAAGCCAGCATCTAGGAGCCACACGATTTACATAATTTATAACAGACGACGGAAACGTCCTGGGCTCTGGGGCAGCTGTAAATAGCTCCTCCTTCCCGCAGGGAAAGGTCTCCTACGATAACAAGTGAGCGTCTGTGTGCCTTCTGGAGCATAACTAAATATACCCCTTACAAATGCTTCTTTAAAAAAGAAAAACACTGGCGGGGGAGGGGGTGGGGAGCAAGAATGTGTGGCGTCGCTGATATTCCGCCTTCAAAGAAAAACCCCGCAGCGCACAACCAGGGCCGGGCGATCAGCTGCCTGGCGGAAGGCCCCCGCGCCCCCTGCGCCCCCGCGCCCCCTGCGCAGGGTGGCGGCCCACGGAGCTCTCCCCACGTTATGTAAGAACCCCTCTCGGCCGAGGTCACCTGGGCGCGGCCGGGGCGCAGGGCGCACCTGGGACGGAAGCCACCCGGCCCACCGGCACCGTGCAAACCGAAGGCAGGTTTCTAACCGGGCCAGCGTTCCCCGGGGACGACCCACGGGTCCGAGGGGAGCGCCCGCAACGTGCCGGCACAGGCCGGGGCTCCGCACACCCCGAGCATCACCCCGCAGGCGGCCCGGCCCCCCGGCGCTTCCCGGGCCGGCCGGCCGACCCCTCCCCACGCCCCGCACTCACTGTTGTACTGCACTCCCTTGGCGAAGCGCCGCTGCAGCGCCTGGTTCATGGACTGCAGTCCGGCGGGGATGTTCTTCTCGCGGCCCGGAGCCGGCTCCGACCCCACCAGCTTCTTGAGCGCGGAAAACATCTTCCCGCTCCCGCGTCCGAGCTCGGCGTGGCCCGCGAGCTCAGCGGCGGCGGCGCGGCGCGGGTCGCACCATGCCCCGCGTCCCGGCGGCCGGGCACCTGCTTCGAAGGCCGCTCGGGGATTCAGCCCCGGCGACTGCGCTCCGGGCCCTTCGGCCCCCCGTGCGGCCGCCCTCCGCCCGCCAGCGCCGCCATCTTGGCACCGGCTCAGCAGGACGCGCGGCTACGGGGCGCCGGGAGGACCAAGAGAGTGCGGCGGCGCGCGTGCGCGAGGCGCGGCGCGCGGCTACGGGGCGCCGCGAGGACCCAGGGAGTGCGGCGGTGCGCGTGCGCGTGCGCGTGCGCGAGGCTACGGGGCGCCGCGAGGACCCAGGGAGTGCGGCGGTGCGCGTGCGCGTGCGCGTGCGCGAGGCTACGGGGCGCCGCGAGGACCCAGGGAGTGCGGCGGTGCGCGTGCGCGGGGCGGCGCGGGCCGAGTTGGGGCTGCGGGTTGCAGCTCCAGCCGCCACTCCGGTCGCACCTGCGCTCGGATCCCTTTTCTTCCCCTCACCCCTGGTCCGCGGGGTCCCGGACCCACACCGACACCCCGCTTCCCGTAGTCTCCCCAACGTGGTCCCCGCATCCGCGCCTCCCCAGGCTCACTTTCTGAGGCTCCTCTCTCCCCCCACGGGCCCCGTCGCGGTTCTGGAAAAATGTTTATTTGTGTAACAAAGCGCCTGCCGCGGGGCGCGGGCGGGGGTGCACAGGGCCCCCCTCCGGGTCACTTCTTCTTCTTCTTGGCCACCCGGAGCCTCTCCTCGATCACGCGCTGGGCCTGCCTCTTGATCTCGGCGCGCGAGGGCACGTAGCTGTGGTCCATGTCGGCGAACTGGAAGGTTTCTGCGGAGACGGGCGGGAGCGGCTCTGGACGACCGTCCTCCCTGTGCCCCTGGGGCTCCGGCCCTTGGGTCTTACAGCCCCGGGAGAGGCTGCGCCCCAGGTCCCCGGGGTGCCTTTCTTGCAAACGGACCAGGGCACCCCTCCCCCGACCTTTATCCAAATCTCACACCCGCCAACATTCCTTTGCCCAGCTCACCCCAGGGCCAGACAACTGGGCAGTCATGTCCCCAGCGCACAGGGATTATTCGGAGGAGCTGAGCTGAAGCCGTGACCCTGCCTTTCCCACGGAAACCCCACTGAGGGCTCTGGCCTGGGGCTCCCCTTGCTCCTTCCTGCCTCCTGATGGGCACTGGTGCTTCCCAGGACGTGTAATAAATTCTCTCCATATATCCTCACCAAGTCACTGACACACCCTTCCCATCCCTGTCCCGCCTGGCTGTCTTGATCAGATGGAGCACTGTGCAGTTCACCCAAGCCACCCACCCCACATCCTCTCCCTGGCCTGGGCAGCCTGGCCCCCCCAGCCCCGACCGGGCCTGTACCGATCATATCCTCCTCCAGATCCTCAAAGCTGATCCTGGTGTTCTGCTTCTCCTTCAGAGTTGAGGACTCCAGGGTGTCCCTCACCTTCGTGTTGGCCTGCAAGGCACGGGGTGGGGGGCTGTCAGCTAGGTGGAGACAGGGTACGAGTAGGTGCCACGCCACGCCCCCCCCACCGGCCGCGGGGCTACCTCCTCAGGTATGGACAACGTCCGCATTCTGTCTGCCAGGAACAGGAGCTTCCTCTCGCAGTATGCCAGCTTGCTTTGCAGGTCCAGGCTGTCCAGGCCCTCAGAGAGTACCCTGTCTTTCTGCAGACCAGGAGGAGGGGCTTGTCTCCTCTCTGGTCCCTCCCAGGCTCCCCGTGCAGGCGGCTCCTCCCTACTCGGCCGATACCTGGGCCTTGGGCAGGGTGATGCCCATCAGCCGGAGGTAAAGGTTGTCGATGCCCATCTGCATGGTCAGCAGCAGCTTCTGGCTCTTGGTCAGGTTAGTGTGGGCCAGCTGCAGCCTCTCTTCCTCCCTCTTCAGCATGTCCTTCATTTTCTTCTGGACAGACTCAAAGCTGTTGGGGACCATGGGGAGGAAGGTGGCACAGACCTGAGGGTGGAGTTGGGTGCTGTGCTAAATTCTGGGGCTCAAGAGCTGTGACGTGGGCACGTGGGGTCCCTGGCTTATCTGCAGAGCGCGACTGGGCTGGCTGGCAGTGCATACGCTGGGCTCGGAGCCTGGCCCCAGCCCAGTCCGGTGGGCAGCTTGGATGGAGGGAGGCGGGGCCCCATCAGTACCTGCTGGAGCTGGGCATCTGGTGGAACTTCAGCAGCGCCTCCTCCATCTCCAGCTTCTTCATCAAGGCCTCCAGCTGAGTCCGCCTCTCCTCACAGTCGTCCATCTGCAGCTCCAGGTTTTCCTCCGTGTTCTTCTGAGCCAGGAACTGGCTTGTGATGTCCTGGCCCCACCAGTAGGGAGAAGCAGGTGTGGGCCAGCCAGGCAGGGCCCACCGCACTGATTCCTTCTGGGCCCTTCCCAGTGGTCAGTGATGATGCTCACAGCAGCTGGGCACTGAGGACTTGTGGGAGGCCATCCCTCCACTGGGTGACATGTTCCATGAGTCACTGTACAGAACCCTCACAACAAGCAGAGGGCAGAGGCAGGGGACCACTGCAGAGACTGCACGGCTGCAGGTACTTGTCCGAGGATGGACAAGCTTAGTCCAGGGCCGGGGACAGGAGCTCAAGGCTTTATTACTAGTGATAAACCCAGGTCGGATTAAAATCAAAGGGGGCAGGTGGAGAGGCAGCTGCTCGTTATGGTCAGTTTGGGAAGGTACGGGTTGGAGTTGGAGGCTACACCCTAGGCCTTTGGATCCTCAGATTCCACAGCTCTGGCCTCCCCGGAACATGCTGGGATGTGCTGGCTATGTCCCGGGAGGCCCTCTACTCGGAGCTGTGGGGGCCACAGCGTTGGTTGTGTGTTCATTCATTCAAAAGGTTCCCGAAGAGCCTTCCCTGTTCAGCCGGCAGGGAGGGGGGTGCCCCCACCCGCCCTTCCCCCAACACCACCGGCGTGCCGGGAAGCAGTACCCAGAGGTGGGAGCAGCGCACAGCGGTCTTGACTTTCTCCACCAAAGCGCTGATATTTGTCTGGTACTCTATGCTGGCCCTGGAGCTGTCTTTTCTCTTCACTGAATAGAGCAGAGGGAAGGATGGCCAGCACGCGGGCCTGGAGTGGGAGCTCCGTACCTGCCCCGTCATCAGGGAAGGCCTCCCGAGACCTGGGTCCCTGTCACTGGTGCTTGCATATTAACCTGCTTCCCCCCTAACCTGCCCTTCAGGGGTGCCGCCAGGGCAGCGCCATCCAGAGGAGGACCGGAAGCAGCCTGGCTCTGTGGGGCTCCGCGGAGCTTCTTAGGGGCAGCTAGGGGCCCGGGGGACTCGAGTTGTCTCTTCTGAGGAGTCAGTGGGTGACTGGGCCCTGGGGTGCTTGTGGAGTTGACAGCTGAGAAGCTGGGGGCTCAGTCACACAGGGCCACGAGCTCCAATCTGGTAGCCTTGAGGCCGGTGGCCTCTGCGGGTATAGCAGGGCACATCTGTCTCCCTCGCTCAGGCCTCACAGTGACTTGACTGGGTGGCTCTGGCCGGAGCTGGCCTCTCAGGACCCTGGGTGGGGCGGGCAAGGAACTGAGCGCTTACTTCTGAGACTTTCCACACTCATCAGATTGGAGGAGTAGTCCAGGTCCCTCCGGCCCTGAAGGAGGAGGGGGAGATGAGCAGCACACTCTGCGGCGGGCCCCGTCCTCGTGCCGCATGGGTCCCGGGCGCTTACCCGGCGGTACTTCTCGCTGGTCTCCTTGGTGTGGATCTTGTCGATCAGCTTCTTCTGCTGGTTCAGCCTGTTCTCCCGTGCCCGTCGCTCCTCAATGAAGGTCGCCTCCCCTTGTCTCATGTTCATCTGGGGACACAGAGAGGTGGTGGGGGTCTGTCTCAGTAAGGCCTCCCGTGTGCGGAATCCAGTGGTCCCTCGCAGTCCCCTTCTTCCTAGGTGTGGGAACAGCCTTCGAAGCTGTCGGCCAGGCCTCTTTCCTACAACACGGGGTCTGCTGCTTCCCCACCCTGGGTTTGCGCTGTCCCCTGCCTGGCCTCTGAGCGGCTGGGCTGCCCCTGCGGCTCCCGCAGTCACCCAGGCAGCCGGCTCGGGCTCTCCACTGGCTCCACGCCAGCCCCTCCCCGGACTCACCAAAGTGGATTCCACGTGGCTTAACATGAACTCATCACCCTGGCCGATTTGGCTCCGCAGTTAGTGTCTACCCTTGCACCGAAGGGTCGTGGGTTCGATTCCACATCAAGGGCACATTACCTGGGTTGCAGGGTTGATCCCCAGCCCCAGTCCGGGCATGTAGGAGGCAACCAGTCGATGTGTCTCTTTCACATTGATGTCTCTCTCTCTCTGTCTCTCTGTCTCTCTCTCTCTCCCTCCTTCCCTCCCTTCTACTCTATCTAAAACTAAAAATGAAAACTAAAAAAAAAAAAAATCAATGGAAAAATATCCTCAGGTTAGAATTAACCAAAAATAAAAATGAAGTCATCATCTTCCCCCAGACCTGGTCTCTTCCTGTTCTACTTCCATGGTTGACACCGTGCTCCATCCACACCTGCCGACACATCCTGAGGGCTGCTCTGTCCCTCACTGTTCACACCTAACTTCGTGCTGCTTCATGTGATTCTCAGCTCCCTCTGGTTTCTGCCACCCCACTCCCGCTGGTCTGGCCCCGGCGACCGGCCTCTGGGCTCTGGTCCCCTCCAGGCTCTGCGGCCAGAGCACACCCGTGTTGAAACAAATCTGATCCCGTCGCCCCGTTTCCCCCCAGGGCTCCAGGTCAGGTGGGGGGTGACACCTGAGCCCCAGCTGCTCTCAGGCTCCTTCCTCTGCAGCTCCTCGGCTGTAGCTCCTCCTGGGCCCTCTCAGCGCGCCCGCCCCGAGCAGGTCAGCGCTCCACAGTACCCACGTTTCTCCCTGCCGCCCTGGCTAGAGGCTGTGTGACGTGGACTGGATGAGTGGCTGCCTCCTCACACTGCCCCTTCACGAGCACAGCTTTGCGGGGGCCTTGGCCCTGACTGGGTGAGTGGGTGGTCCTGCCTGAGCTAGGCCAGTCCTCTCCTTTCTCTGTCTACCCCATGGCTTCCGGCCTAGTGGGGCTCCCTCTGTCCAGGGCCACAGAGTGAGCAGAGCAGGCTGGCGGGGGGCTGCTGGACTCCAGCGATCGCAGTGATGTAGGCATGGGGGTGTCCTGCAGGGCCTCCCAGCCCGGGGACCTGAGCTCACCTTGACCTCATCCGTAATCATCATGGCATCTTGGGACATGATTGTCATATCCGACAGCTCTGAGCAGTATTCGACCACGAGACCCTGCAGCTTGTCTAGTTCTGTGGGGTATCCGGCCAGCTCCTGAATGGGAGGGGCAGGGCCGGGGGCACAGAGCCTGATGGGCCAGGCCAACTGCATGCCGCCCCGGTTCCAGGGCAACTTCCCTGGCCCGTCCCGGGTCTCCTGTGGCCCTACAAAGTGGACCGTGCCTGCCCTCCACTCCTCGCCCCAGACCATGCACCCTGAGGACAGTGGCCTGTGGCCCCAGCCCCTACCAGGCACATAGCAGGCAAAAGGAAGTGTTTGGGAGGGGCACGCAGTCTCCTTGGTGGACTCTCCCACTGCGCAGGCCAGACAGCCCAGGGACCCTTCCAAGGACGTTGTGATGGGATGGCCCACTATTTGCGAGGTGACTGTGAACCCCAGGGGACACTGCCGAGGAGCGACTGCTTTCCGAAATGAAGCAGTGGGGCTCGAGGCACAGGCCACCTGACCACTGGTGTGGCACCTTGGGAGAGCCACTTGACCTCTCTGAGTGTCCCTGTCTGAACAGAGGTGACCACGGCTTCTTCAGAAGGGTGCAGTGACTGAGAAGGTACAGTGAGGTACTTAGCTCAGGGCCAGGGTCATAAACGTCTAAGATATCTTGGCTCCTAGTATTTTGTCGTTCATAACTACAGTGTAGAATCTTTGCTGCTTTTTTTTTTAATGCAGGTGCCCTGGCTGGTTTGGCTCAGCGGTTAGAGCGTCGGCCCGCAGACGGGAGAGTCCAGGGTTCGGTTCCTGCTAAGGGCATGTGCCTCGGTTGCAGTTTGTCCCCGGCCCTGGTTGGTCGTGCGGGTGGCAGCCACTCGATGTGTCCCTTTCACGTCGATGTTTCTCTCTCTCTCTCTCCCTCCCAATCTATCTGTACAAAAATTGGAAAAATGTCCTCGGGTGAGGATAAAAAAATAAAATAAAATAAAATGCCTGTGTTCTGAAAAGATAAGCCACTGTGAGGACACACGTGCCAGGTGAAGGAGCCGCTGGGCCCTGGAGGGCAGTCACTGGTGCAGAATGGAAAGGTGGGCGGGGCCTCCAGGTGGGTCTCCAGGACCAAGGGCTGAGGCAAGGGGGACAGGCTGGGGGCTGAAGCTGTGCCAGTTAGGATCAGAGGGTGTGCCGACCCATCCCACCACACCCTCCTCCCAAGCCGCCATCTGAACCTGTCACCCTCTGGGGCTCCCCCTCCCCCAGGCTGAGGATGAGGAAGGCTGGGGGTTCCCTCACTCTCCCTGCCCCTCCTGCCAGTTGCTCCTCTGGCACCCTGGAACCCACCCTCCTCTACGCCCCATCTACTGTCGACATCTACTGGCCTGTGCCAGGTGCCTGCACTGTGCTGTGTGGGGCCCAGAGGTGCCTCCTGTGAAGGGGTCTTGCCTCACAGTGGGTCATGTTACCTGGGGCCTCCTCCTGGCCTCCTCCACAGAGCAGGGAAGCTGGCTAAGAGGAGGTGGGCTGCAAGCCGAGGTCACTGGCCTGCTCTGAGGTGACTTGCCCTGTATATTGAGGGGCTTTCTGATGGCACAGGGCTCATCTCTTGCCCTCAGAGGCCAGGCAATGACAGATGACAGGCAGTGCCCTGCCCAGTGTAGCTCAGTGGTTAGAGTGTCGAGGTTCGCACCAAAAGGTCACGGATTCTATTCCCAGTCAAGGGCACATAGCCCGGCTGGTGTAGCTCAGTGGTTGTGCATCGACTCATGCACCAAGAGGTTGCTGGTTCGACTCCTGGTCAGGGCACGTGCCCAGGTCATAGGCCAAATCCCCAGTGGGGAGCATGCAGGAGGTGGCCAATTGATGTTCTCTCTCATCGATGAGTCTCCCCCACCCCATCCTTTCCACTCTCTCTAAAAATCAATGGAAAAAATATCCTCAGGTGAGGATTAACAAAAAAAAGGGGGGTGGGGCCTGGCAGGTATGGCTCAGCAGTTGAGCGTAGACCCATGCACCAAGAGGTTGTTGGTTCGATTCCCAGTTGGGGCACATGCCCAGGTTGTGGGCCCAATCCCCAGGGGGGGTACATGCAGGAGGTGGCCAATCGATGTTCTCTCTCATGTTCTATCTCTCTCTCCCTCTCCTTTCCTCTCTCTCTAAAGTCAATAAAGAAAAAAAAATTTTTAATTAAAAAAAAGGGCGGGGGGCAAAATAAAAACCACACTAACCATCAAGTACATGCAAGAAAATGCAAACAATTCTGATATATCCCATGAAATGCTTCCTTGGAGTAGCAGCGACAAGTTCTTGAAAGAACGTTTTTCACCTACTGGTGCGGCTGCTCATTAGGCGCCGAAGCAGGGCTCAGCCCTCCCCTGGGGTGATCGGCCAGGGTAGCTATGGGCCTGGGGCACGGGGTAGGGGTCTGGGGTGGGGGTGCGGGGTGGGGTTGGGGGGGACGGCCCTGCTCAGAAGGTTCCCGTCCCCACCGAGATCCCAGCCCTGCGCATGGCTGGGGCCTGAGACCCCGGTCCTCCCACTGAGCTGGGCTTCCAGGGGCTGGGATTAGGGGGAGGGGGCTCACTTTCTTCAGGTAATCTAGCAGGTTCACATACAGCAGGTGTATGTTCTGGCTCTTGGTGATCTTGATCATCGTCTTTTCGATGTTGTTCTCCAACTGGCGGATGACCTAGGGGCAGCCAAAGGACACAATGAGAGCCAAGTCACCTAGAGGTGCAAGGGGGGGGGCTCTCATCCATCTAGCTCCGCCTCCCCAATGTAGCCCCGCCTTACTCTCTGATCCACTTCCCGAGGATCCACCCCTCCCGAGCCCCCACCCGAGGAGGCCCCTCCCCGCCACCACCTGCAACAGGCGCTGCTCCTCCTTGGTGGCCACAGGCTGGTTCTGCAGGCTGGCCAGTTCCAGCTGCATGCTCTCCAGCTGCTGCCCGCGCCGCCGCACGAGGTGGATCAGCACGTTGTGCACGTTCACGCGGTCGAAGACGTACTTGCGCAGCTTCTCCCGCGCCACCTGGGTCGGGGAGGGCAAGGTGCGCAGGGGGCCGCGGGCCCACGCGCGGGGAGGGACCCCGAGGTGGAAGCCCGCTCTGCCTCCTACAGCTCCGGCCACCTTACCTCCATGGTGCAGCGACCATGCGCCAGGCTCGTCTGCGCGTCCTTCCCGCAGGCCTTGGAGATGGACTGCTGGTCGTACTGTGGGGCAGAGGCGGCTGAGCGCGGGGGGCACCTCTGCGTCCCCCTGCCGCCAGCCCCTCCGGACATTCTCCCAGTGCCTCTCCTGCCCGTGCCAGCCCAGCTGCAAGGCCCCAGGAGGCAGAGCGCTACGGGACCCTATCCAGGTCATCCCAGCTCAGATGTGATGGGGGTCCAGGTCTCCCCTACAAGGCCAGAGAGCCAGAGGGGCCCCTGCTGCAGGGGGTAGCCCAGGAAGGGGCACCTAGTCAGGGGACCTGGCCGCCAGGCTCGCTGGAGCGCCTGGAGCCCAGCACAGGCCCCCACCGGGCGCGCCCCCCACCGGGCGCGCCCCAGATGCCTCACCCCCGGAAGTCAGAGCCAGGGAAGGAGCAGAGGTGGTTGCTGTCCACCTGTGTGTCTGTTTCAGCACATGCCCCGCCCCCTCACCCCTAGGCAGCAGGGAGGGGGCTGGGCTGCTCACCTTCTTGGCCAAAGTCCAGTCTTGGGTCCTCTGGCGGATGTTGCTGCGCAGGAGAGCCAGCGTCGCCTTGTTTTTGACCGTTTTCTCCTTCATGGCCTGGACCTGCAGCGCCCGGCACTGTTCTGTGGGCGGGCAGAGGGTCGTGGACCAGGGTGTGGGCCAAAGGCCTGGTCCGGATCCCCAGGATTCCAGGTCTGGTGAGCTCACAGCCTGGGGCGCACCACCTGCAGGCCCTGCTCCTGACTCCCTCCCTGCCCCTAAGTCGGGGCCATGGTCTTCACTGCTCAGAGTGCTCATCTGGACGGCAGTGCTCAGCAGGGGGGATGAATTGTGTCCCCTTCCAGACCTGCCGGCCACGGAGGCAGCTGGATTCCTTTCTGTTCCCTCTGGCTTTGGGGTCCATAATGCTCACAAATCTCCATGAAGCCCCCAGCCTCTGTTCTCCCCCACCCCTGCCTCCTGCATGGCAGGCCCCTTTGATGCCTTCTCCCAGCTCTGTTTGCCCTGGGCTGTCTTTGTGTTAAAACGGAAAGTCCTGCACCCCGGAACCTGTGAGCTTTGGGGGCACAGTCGCCACGGCAGTGGCTCACCCTGGAGCCGAGTGATGGTCTTCAGCTCCTGGGTCTGCTCCTCCATATCCGCCTCGCTCCATGTCTTCATAGTGGCCCGCAGGGCCCCCGCCTCCCACCCTCGCTGTGCTGGGCCTGCTTAGCAGAACCAAGTTCAGACTGTCCCTGGAACCTCGGCCATTGTGATGGGGGCCAAGGTTCTCAAAGCCCAGGGAACCCTGGAATTCCTGGCCCGCCTTGCCACCACCCTCTGCCCTGCTCTCTGCTCAGGAGCGTGGCCGGAGCCGGGCGTCCTCTCCCAGACAGGGGACTCGTGGTGGGTTAGCAGGGCACCCACCCATCCCTCCACCGTCTCCTGAGCTCCGGACCACTCACTGCCTTACAGGGTCTCTTCTCCACCCACCCTGTGTCCAAACTCCACCCGCAGGTGACCTGGGTCATGAGACCCCAGCGTAGGCCCTCACTACCCCCTCTCCCTGACCTCTGCCTCTACTTCCCTGGGGAATTCCTGGGTTTAGCTTTATGTATTTTTTTAAATTTATTTTTATTGTTGAAAGTATTATAGATGCCCCCCCCCCCCATCCACCCCTTCCGTGAGTCTAGCTGTAGATGTCACTCCAGGAGGGATCAGTGCCCGTCTCTACACCCCCAGCCCAAGCTCCCTTAGAGGTATGTGCCCCAAGCACTGGACGGCCTGGGACTTTGCAGGTTGGGTGCAGGGAGGTGGACCCTGGGTTTGTTACCTTTCCTAGCTATGCTGCGTGACCACTAGGGCTGCAATGACAAAGCACCATGGACGGATGGTGGCTTAATCAGCAGACATTTATTGTCTCACATCCTGGTGACTGGACGTCCGAGATCCAGGGGAGGGCAGGGCGGCTTGCTCCTGGTCTTGCAGTCGGCTGTCCTCTCTGTGCCCCCACAGGCCCTCTTCTCTATGCCTGTCTGTGCCCGCATCTCCTCCTCTTATAAGGCACCAGCCAGGCGAGATCGGGGCCCGCCCTCACCTTAACTTCATCACTGCTTCAGAGACCCTGTCTACAAACGCAGTTGTATTCTGAGGTCCTGGGGGTAGGGCTGCAATATGTGAATTTGGGGGGGACACAGTTCAGCCATAACAATGATCTTCACCCATGTTACAGCACCCTCTTCCTCTGTGACCTCTTACACAGCTCATTTACCTTTCTGGTCACTCTGTTTTTACAAAGTGAGTCCAATCAGGCCTAAATCTCCCAGTTTTCCCTCCACCCTCCCTCTAACCCAGGCCTTACCCTCGGAGATGGAGGAACCTGCCATATGCATGGTCTGCCCCTGCCCCCTCGCCCCCCCGGCCCCCGCCTGAGGCAGCACCTGCCTTGGTTCTCCCTTCTTGCTCAGATATAGAACCCCTGAATTTTAGTAGGGCGCATGACTGCCCAGAGCAAAGCTGCCTTCCCAGGTGCCTTTGCCCAAGTGTATCACATGACTTCGTTTGGGCCAGTGCAGTATAAGCAGAAGGGTGAGTGAACTGCCCTCCTCCTTCCTGTTGACTGGGACGAAGGCACAATGGCTGGAGCTGGTGCAACTGCCCAGGGCTATGAGGTGGATTTGGAATAGAGGCCATTACAACAGGGAATGAACTAAAAAGGAGCCCGGGCTCCTGACTACTCAGCCCCAGACCACCCACTTGGGCTTTTACATGAAGGAGACTCTAGGTTGCTTATGCCATGGTTATCCTGGGCTCCCTGTGATTGCATTCCCACCAACGGTCCTGGTGCATAGTAGGTACTTAGTAGATTTTGGTGTTTTTTGTTGTTGTTGTTGTTAATCCTCACCCCAGGATATTTTTTCCATTGATTTTTAGATAGAGATAAAGTGGAAGGGAAGGAGGGAGGGAAGTCGGGAGAGAGAGAGAAATATCCATGTGAGAGAGACACATCAACTGGCTGACTCCCTTATGACTCTGACTGGGGCCAGGGATCAAATCTGCAATCCAGGTACACACCCTTGACCAGGAATCAAATCTGTGACCCTTTGGTCCATGGACTGACACTCCAACTCCTGAGCCAAACTGGCCAGGGCAGCAGATATTCTTGTGAATGACCGGCTAGGCCAAGAGGCACGGCTGACCTGGGCTGGAGCCGCGTGGCCCTATGCTATGTGCCTTCAGCGTGAATGGGGAGCCGACTGCAAAGGACGTGGACTTGCCCAGAGTTTATGTGGTCTCTGCCTCTTCCTGTTGGGGTGGGTGAGGTGGGGAGTCTTGCCAATCGTGAACTTTCCTTCCGTGAGGACAGAGCTCCAGTAAACTAGCGGCCTCCCTCCACCCCTGGAGAGAAGTGACTTCATCTGACACCCGTGTGTAGGATGACAGGCGGGTGGACATAGCCACTTCCTGTCCCTCATCTCTCGGGAACCAGGTGTTATTGGTGGTACACCTTGTGGTCTGCTCCTCTATGACACGTTGTAAAGAAACAGACACCCACAAGGAGAGGCCTCCTGGTCTTACGGGGCCGGCAGGAAGGTCTAATCCTGGGGTCCGGTGTTAGGAACCGCCTGGCACAGCCTCCAGGACCAGCCATGTGGCAGGCACTAAAGGGACATTTGGCTCGCAGCTTCTTCCTGCCTCTGCTTCCCAGTTGCTGAAGAAGTCAGTTGGGAAAAGGAGCAAGGCGTTTATTCGTCCCACAAGCCCAGCGGCATCTGGCACCAGAAAGGGAGTGTCTGCACCAGGGAGTGTAGAAGTCCTCCACCAGGCGCCCCACAGGGCGGGGAGAGCTGGCCTGGGGTGTGGAGGTGCCGAGGGCTGTGTTCCGGAACTCTCCAGGCCCAGGTCTTGTGCGCCCAGGCTGGAGCTCTCCTAGGTGCGCTGATCTGTAAGAAGCAGATGGAGACAGACCCACACTTAAAGGTGCTCACGGTCCCTGAACCCATGTTACTGTGGCGAACACCAAGGTGAGGCCTGTAGCACAGATGCAGGCCGTGGAGGACGGGCCGGAGGTCAATCCGCCTGCTGTCTGATGCCCGGCCTCTCAATCTGCACGTTCTCCCTGGGGTGTGTCCACACTCCTCGCTCTGCACTCCTCCTGGGTCCTCCTCCTGCAAAGGGGCTCTGGAATTTTCGTCCACTGCACTCATTCCACTCCAGGAAGTGCATGCTAGGGCCCAGGCCAGAGGGAGAGGCCCTGTCCAGCCTACACCTCCGGCCCCAGGTTTGCCTGCCTAGAAGTGCACACCAGAGGCAAGACGTCTGCCTCCCACTGCCCCGGGGCCTCTCACCTGTGCCCCTGTCTGTGGGGAGCTTTCCCGTCTCCAGGAAGAGCCAGAGGTTGCTGCACTTCTGTGTCTCCACACGGGTCACCCAGTAGCTGGCCACTGAGCCTGCAACTGTGAAGTAGAGCGGGGCTGGCGGGCTGGGGGCCTAGGCCTCTGCATTTCTCCAGGAAAAAGAACCTGGACACAGGATTCCTCTGGGCAGATGGTGGTGGTGGGCTTGGGCAGGGTTCCCTCTGGGAACTGGGGCCCCATCCCAGGAGGCAGGGATGCCCGGAACGCAGCCCCCCCCTACACACACATACACTCCTAGTGGGAACCCACCCCCACTTTAAAGCCAGAGTCACCTCCGGCAACTTGGATGCATTTCAGGGGCCTGGGGCACTGACCCTGGGGTACCCACCCACGGCCACCAGCACGTTCCACTGAAAGGGGTACTTGAACTTCCTCTGAACGAACATCTGCAGGCCGAAGGTCAAACCGGTGCCTGCCAAGAGGCACAGTGCCCATCAGCCAGCATGCGGGCCCAGGGACCACGGGGGCGCGGCACCTGCCGGCCCCCAGCACCTGCAGGCAGGCGACTTGGCGCCACCTGCTGGGGAGTCAAGATGAGACGAGGTCGGAGGGTGAGGTCTTTACACCCGGGGGCACCTGGACCCAGCCTACCTGTGACAAAGGTGAAAATGCCCTTCACGAAGGCGTTCGATTGGCATGCGGCATACTCCCCCAGTCCCTGGGAGGGGGAGGGTGTGGAAGGCTCAGTTCCCCTCCCTCTTCCTTCACCTCTTCCTTCCTTCATCACGAGGCCCCGAGCTCTTGGGCGCATCCTACCGCCCCATGGCCACCCAGGATGCCCCGATCCCCGGAGCAAGAGGGTCCCCACTCGGCCCCTTTTCCCTGACGAGACGCACCCCCCCGCCCGCTCAGGTCAGCTTCTGAGGTCCTGAACCCGCGTCCTAGGCCGCGTCTCACCGGGTGCTTGGCGGCTACGGCGTCGTCCACGCGGGACAGGCCCAGGTTCACCATGGCTGGTGGGGCCTGGCTGTCGGATCCACGCAGGCGCGGGCGGAGGGGTCGGGCCGGATCGGGGCGGGGCGGAGTAGGAAGGGGCGGGGCCTTGCGGGCCAATCTGCGCAGGCGAAGGCGAAGGGGGCGGGCAGGCCTGCGCAGAGTCGGGCGGGGTCTGGAGGAGGGGGCGGGGCCTGCGCAGAGTCGGGCGGGGTCTGGAGGAGGGGGCGGGGCCTGCGCAGAGTCGGGCGGGGTCTGGAGGAGGGGCGGGGCCGCGCAGAGTCGGGCGGGGTCTGGAGGAGGGGGCGGGGCCTGCGCAGGCTCAGGTGGACCCGGCAGAGCGGAGAACCGAGGGCGGGCCCGGGAGAAGGGGCGGAACCCGGCGCGTCGTGCATCCCGGGCTCTGTGACCTGCGGGGCCGCAGGCGTACACTGGCCACCTCATCCCCATCACGAGCCCGGCCTTGGTCACCCTGCCTCACGTCGACTCGCGGAGGAGTAATGATTATTGATAGAATTATGTGTTGGGATGGGACTTTGCTTTAGGGGTTCAATCTCTTGGAAACGACCACGGTGGAATGATGTATCAAAAGATTATTTCGCAGATTAATTCCCAAAATGCTATAAACCCATACTTGGTGCTAGGAGTTCTGTGCTAGGAGGTGGGGAACCCACGGAAGACTTAGAGCCCCTGCGCTCAAGGAGCAGACAGGTGAACAGAGCCGGGAGACAGACCAGGAAAACAAAACTCGTCGTTGTGCTAGGCGGGGGTGAGGCAGGGGGGTACTGGGTGGGCCCCTGGGATCCCCTAAGTCAGTTTGGCCCCAAGGCTGGGCTGGTGGGCAGGTGCAGGTGAGCCCTCCCTGCAGGGCCTTCTTGGGCCCCAGGGTCCTTCTGCTCTCCTGTTCCGAGCCCAGCCCAGAGGTCCCAGGATCTGGAACTACAGGGTGAGGAACGCACTCCGCAGTCCGGGAACATTTTCAACCAGAGGGGCTGCAGCCCCTGGTGTCTTTCTCCCCTGGAGAGAGACAGGGCGCCAGCTTGGTCCCTGGAGCTGGACTCCACCAGAGCCCTCTGTCCTGCCTGCCTCCCAGCACACAGCCTTCTGTCTGGGCTGTGAGCCCCCAGTGCTGACCAGTAGAGTGAACAGGCGGGGTTGGGAGGGCTGAAGCCTCTCCCAGGGTCTCACCTCTGGGCGCCTTAGGAAGCTTTTTGGAAATGCTGCTGGGGTCCCCACCACATGGGCCAGATAGGGACCAGAGGCCACCTCCCTTCTCTGTCCTGAAGGCTCCACTGAAGCCCACTGACTTGGGGGGGGGGCTTCTTGCTCTCCTGGATGTTTCTTCTTGTGCAAGCCCGCAGGGGACTGGGTGCCTGGTTCCAGGAGGGGCCCCTCCACCCTGCAGGCTGTGTGGTGTGCCTATGTGTACACCAGGAGTTGCATAAGTGGATACGTGAGGGTGGTGGGAGGGACTCGCAGGCACCTTGCCAATAGGAGATTGCTGGAAGGGTACGGGCTCCCGGATTAGCAGGAGAACCCAGTCATTTGTCCCTTGATCCCTGCTACCCAGGAAAGGACCGAAACTTTACACTCTGGCATTGTGCTGGGAGGTCTGATGTCTGTCCTGCCCCATCCCCGCCCCCACCCCTTCCCTGGCGCTCTGGATTTGTAGCCGGGGACTTATACTCCTTCAAGCCATCCTGCTCTTTACCCAAGAGGCAGCATTGGGGGACAACTTTATATACACATGTAGCTTACATATACGCTTACAAAAATTAAGGTACCAGTTACATACAGTGGAAGTCACCCTTTTTTTTTTTTTTTTTTTTTATCCTCACCCGAGGACATTTTTCCATTTTTTCGTTCAGGTAGAGTGGGAGGGAGAGAGAGGAACAGATAGAGAGAAACATCGATGTGAAAGGAACACACCGAGTGGCTGCCACCCGCACGACCCACCAGGGCCGGGGACAAACTGCAACCGAGGTACATGCCCTTAGCGGGAACCGAACCCGGGTCTCTCAGGACCGCAGGCCGACGCTCTAACCGCTGAGCCAAACCGGCCAGGGCGGAAGTCACCCTTTTTATAAGTTTAGACACAATCATGTGACCACCACGGCCCATCATCCCAAAAGGCTCTGCATGCCCCTTGTCGTCAGTTACTCCCCCACCTCACCCCCAGCAACCGTGGAGCAGCTTTCTGTCTCTATGGGTTTGCCTTGTCTAGAAGGTCCTAGAAAAAGGATCCAGGTCTGTGGCCTTCCACTCTGGCTTCTCTCAGCGTACGGGGTGTGGGATTTATCCAAGTTGCTGTGTGACCCCACAATTTCTTCCTTTTGTTCCTGAAAAGTGCCCATCACATGGAGGCTGCAGCTCGGTCATCTATTCCCGGAGACCCACGGTTGTTCCACTTCTCAGTGCTTGTGAATAAAGTCCCATCGACTCCCATGCATGGGTTTTGTGTGTTTTATTTCTCCGTGGTGAATACCTAGGTATGTGATCGTTAAACTGGACAGAGCTTTACAGGAACCTGCCAAGCGGTTTCCCGGGGGCTGCTCCACCTCCCCACTCAGCCCAGCGGTGTTCGTGTCAAAACATGCTGCCATGCTCTGGCCGGTGTGCTCAGTGGTTAGTGTCAGCCTGTGAACCAGAGCATCTCAGGTTCAATTCCCAGTCAAGGGCACGTGCCTGGGATGCAGGTTCCACCTCTGGGTCGTTCAGAAGGCAACCAATTGATGTGTCTCTCTCACATCGATGTTTCTCTCTCTCTCTCTCTCTCTCTCCCACCCTTCCTCCCGCCCTCCCTCCCTTCACTCTCTTTAAAAATCAATGGAAAAATATTCTTGTTGAGGATTAACAAAAAAAAAGCTAAAAAATGAAAACATGCTGCTATTCCCACAGGTGTGTAGGTGTGTCCCGGGTGGTCTCCATTTGTCTCTCCCTGGGACAAATGACGTTGAACACTTTTTCATGTGTTTATTTTCCATCCGAGTGTGTTCTTTGGTGAAATGTCTCTTTAAATCATTTTCTCCTGGTCTGGCTGGTGTTGCTCCGTGGTTAGAGCGTCAGTCTGTGCACTGAAGGGTCACAGGATCGATTCCCAGTCAAGGGCACGTGCCTATGTTGCAGGTTTAATCCTTGGCCCCTCTCACATTGATGTTGCTCTCTCTCTCCCTCCTTCCCTTCCACTCTCTCTAAAACTCAATGGAAAAAATATCCTCAGGTGAGGATTAACAACAAATAAATCATTTTGTCGTTTTGTTTTGTTTTGTTTTGTTTTAATTGGGTGGTTTGTTTTTGTTACCGAGTCTTGAGAATTCTTTGTACATTCTGGGTCTAAGTCCTTTATTAGATGTGTCTTGTGAATATTTTCACGGGAAGCCCTTGACTGGTCTATCCTGTAGCTCTGGGGCCTGGTTGAGAGCAGGTGCCTCCTGAAACCCTGTGGAGGCAGCAAGCAGGGACCTTGGCTACTCCTCCCTCCGTGGAGACCAGGGACTTCTCCCACCCGGACGCCCTTCCGCTCTGAGCATTGGTCCTCCCCAGGGACCTTGGGGCATCTGGGTGGTGTGCCCCGAGGCCACGTGCTGCCCCTGGCACGGTGTCCCTGGGCACTCTGCATGGACACAAGACATCACCTGCAGAGGCCAGGGCACCTCAAGCCCTCGCCAGCTGGTGGTGCCTGCCTGGCGACACTGCTGCCCAAATGCTTATGCAACCAGTGATAAGGTCTGGAGACCATAATCCATCCTAAGTGGCAGCTCAGCCCCGCCCTCCAGACCTGTTGCTGGAGGCCCAGCTGGTGCCTTCGAGGGGGTAGTGGGGGTCTGGAGTGCGGGTCGCTCAGGCCTCTGATGCCACCTCTATCACAGCTGCCCTGGCACAGGCTTTGCCCCTTGATGAGGTCCAGAGGCCTGACCAGTGGGGAGCAGAGGGAGTGAGGACAGTGGGGGACCCAGGCCCTGAGTGGGGGCCCGTTGGCTAGAACAAACCTGAGCCTGACTGCTTCCCAGCAGCAACCCCAAGGGCCCTGGGCCCCCAGCCCCAGCCAGACCCGAGGTGGACAGAGGTGCTGAGGGTCTGAGTCCCTGCAGGCCACAACAGTCTCTGCGTGGGCCCCCAGGACTACCTGGCAGGTTAGGGGGACAAATCCACAGCTTGGAGGAGTCGGGTGAAAGCCCAGCTTTCTGGAGCCCTCCAGGAAATGATCCCTGGAGCCGGCGGGGACACTTGGGTGATTGTGCCACACAATGGACAAAGGAAGCCTGGGGTTTCCGGAGACCAAATGCCTTTCACGCCCCAACCTGCTGATCTGGTGAGTCAGCTGCTGGCTACGCTATAAGGGCCCGGCCTGCTGGGCTCAGACATGGTGCCAGGAGCCAGGCACAGGCATGAGGATGAAGTCTCTCCTCCGAGGCCGGGTTCTGGTGCTGCTCTGGGTGTCCACAGCTTGGGCTGAGGTCCTGGTGCAACCAGAATTTGATGCCAAGAAGGTACTGGAGGCCTCCGTGCTGTGCTGTGGGGGGCTGGGGACTGAGCTTCTGCTGAAAACCACAGCGACAGGGTAACGGTAGGAGCTGTCTCCACCTGCTGGGCTCGGGCCTCATGCTGCCTTTCCACGTGCTCTCTATGGAACCCTGAAAGCACCCTGTGGGGGTGATTACTGACCCATTTCACAGTGGTGATGTGACTTGCACAGCTAAATGCAGACAGGGCTCTCGTTCACCCTGGTCGCAGAGCCAACGGGTGGACACGCTGGCTGTGTAGTTTCAGACAAGTTCTGGTTCTGGGTTGTTGGCTTGTGCTCCTGGGCCCTTTCGCCTGCCAGTCACTGAACTACCTCACAGTTCTCAGGCCTCTGGTACGTGGTGGCCATGGTCTCCGACTGCAAGGTCTACCTGGACAGGAAGGACCACCTGCTGATGTCCACCAGTGCCGTCACGGCCACGGGGGAGGGCAACCTCAGCGTCCACATGGAGTTCCCCTGGTGAGCCCAGTGGGGCTGGGTGCAGCTGGCAGGGCAGGGTGAGCCTGGGCAGCTTCCCAGAGGGAATGGGCTGTGTACCTCCAGGGCTGACGGCTGTAACCGAATGGATGCTGAGTACCTGAAGGTGGGCTCCGAGGGACACTTCAGAGCCCCAGGTAGGTCCCGCCCCACCACCTTAGAGGCACCTGATGCCGATTCTCCATGGGGGTGATAATGGGACTGTCCCAGGATCCCCCCTCCAAAGCCATCTCCTGTTCCTCCTCCTGTCCCTCTCCTTCGCCACTGCAGCAGAGGTCAGTGTGGGTGGGGGTCACCCGGGTCCCAGCAGCTCTCTCCCCCCGCAGCTTTGGGCTACCTGGACGTGCGCGTGGTGGACACGGACTACAGCTCCTTCGCCGTGGTCTACATCTACAAGGAGCTGGAGGGCGCGCTCAGCACTATGGTGCAGCTCTACAGTGAGGCCCCTCCAGCCCCAGCCCCCCAGGCCCCGCCCAGTCCCCATCTTCCTTCCCCCTCCTGGTCACACACTCCCAAGTCTGGGCCCGCAAGGACCAGGTGCGGGTGAGGCAGGGGCTGAACAGGGCTTTGGATAGGTAGGGGTTGGCTGGAGGGGCCTCTGAGGGTGGGGACCCATCTTCCGGGCTGCTGAGAACTTGAACCAGGGCTGAGACCCCATCGGGCTTTCATTTCCGAGGTGTGGGCAGAGCGCAGCTCCCCAGGGTAGCGCGGCTGAGGTTAGGGCGAGAGGGTGGCCCTTGGCAGCCGCAGGAAAAGATGCCTGGGGGAGGGGACAGCCTAGGGGAGCATGGCCAGGGGGAAGAGCTGAGTTCCCAACCTCCTGGACACCCCGGTGTGAATTGGGAGAGGCGCCCCTCTGGGCCAATCCCAGTCCCCACTGGCCGCTCAGCCAGGCAGGGGCTTTCGGGCTCAGCCTGCCCCACCGCGGGTGGCAGCCCTCAAAGAAGAGAGCAGAAGACACCCGTCTCTCCCCCTCTCCTCCGCGAGCCTCGGGGTTCACGAGGGCCCTGCTCTGCCCCAGGCCGGACCCAGGAAGCGAGCCCCCAGGCCCTGACGGCCTTCCAGGACTTCTACCCCACCGTGGGGCTTGCGAAGGACATGAAGGTTGTGCTGCCGAAGTCAGGTACCCCGCCAAGCACTGCCTCCGGCTAGGCCCCGCCCCACCCAGGCCCCGCCCCACTCAGGCCCCGCCCCGGCTAAACCCCGCCCAGGTCCCGCCCAGGCCCCGCCCCGACCAGATCCCACCCCCGCCAAGTCCGCGTGCAGCCGGTCTCTGGTCGCCCGAGTTTCCTGCCAGGGGCTGGGCTGGCAGCACCTCCAGCCACTCCTGCCCACAGCCGCTTCTTCCCCCAACACACCCCAAGGGAGAGATTGTGGGGAGCTCAGGAGGGAGAGTCTTTCAGTTCCACCCTCTGGGGGTGGCTGTACCCATCCCCACACACTCGGGGGGGGGGCTGCAAAAAGCCGAGGGCGCTGTTCCCCAGCGCAGCCTCTCAGGGACTGCCCTTCTTCCCTCAGATGCGTGCTCCTCGGCGGGCAAGGAGGCCCCCTGACAGCCCGGAGGCCCACCTCGGCCCTTCCCGGGGGGAGGACAGGGTAAGCCCTCCCGTCCTGCAGGGCCTGGTGGCTTCCCCACCAACTCCGCTCTGTGTTCTTCTGCCTGGGTTTTGTGCTTCCACATCACCTCTTCCAGGAAGCCCCCACTGATTTCCCGCCTGCCGTAACAACTCACAAACGGGGAGCTTAAAACAGGAGACATTGTCCCTCTCAGTTCTGGGGCCACAGGTCCAAAGCCAAGGGCGGGCAGGGCTGCTTTCCCAGGGGCTCCGGAGGAGAAGCCCACCTGGCCCAGCTCCTGGGGGTGCCGCACTCTTGCGTCCCTTGGCTTGTGGACACATCACTGCCATGTCTGCGTCCATTGTCACATGGCCGTCTTCACTCTGTGTGTCTATCCAAATTTCCCTCTTTTTTTTTTTTAGACATTTTTTTCCTTTTTATTGATTTTAGAGAGAGAGAGGAAGGGAGCGGGAGAGAGAGATAGAAACATCGATGAGCGAACACATTGATTGGCCTCCTCCTGCATGCCCTCCACGGGGGATCGGGCCCACAACCTGGGCATGTGCCCTGCCTGGGAATCGAATTGGCGACCTCCTGGTGCATGGGTCGATGCTCAACCACTGAGCCACACCAGCCGGGCCTCTTTTCTTTTTTTAAATATATTTTTTTTTATCCTCACCTGAGAACATTTTTTTTTTTTTTTTTTTGCATTTGTCTTCTGATAGAGTGGGAGGGAGAAAGAGAGAGGGAGAGAAACATCGATGTGAGAGAGACACATTGACTAGCTGCCACCCACATGACCCCAACCAGGCCGGGGACAAACTGCAACTGAGGCACATGCCCCTAGCAGGAACCGAACCTGGGCCTCTCTGGTCCATGGGCCGACGCTCTAACCATTGAACAAAACCAGCCAGAGCTAAATATGTTTTTATTGATTAAAAATTCTTTTTTCTTTATTGATTTTAGAGAGAGAGGAAGGGAGAAGGAGAGAGAGAGACATCAATGAGAGAGAACATAGACTTGCCACCTCCTGCATGCCCCCACTGGGGATTTGGCCCACAACCTGGGCATGTGCCCTGACCGGGAATCAAAGTGGCAACCTCTTGGTGCAGGGGTCGAAGCTCAACCACTGAGCCACACCGGCCTGGCTTTTATTGATTTTTTTAGAGAGAGAAGAAGGGAGAGATAGAAACATCAATGTGAGAGAGAAACAGTTATTGGCTGCCTCCTGCACGACCCCTACTGGGGATCGATCCTGAACCCCCAGCATGTGCTCTAACCAGGAATGGAACTGGGACCTCTCAGTCCATGGGGATGATGCTCAATCCACTGAGCCACACAGGCTGGGCAATTTTCCTTCTTCTTATAAGGACACCTGTCATTGGTTGTGAGGCCCACTCTAAATCCTGGGTGATCTCATTTTGAGATCCTTAGCTAAATATTTCTGAAAGACCCTATTTCCAAAAAGTTTACATACAGAGTTCCAGGTGGACTTGAATGTTGGGGGAACCCTGCCAACCCAGTGCACCCTATGTCCTCATGTGCCCCGGCTCACCTCCTGGGCGTGGGGCCCTGCCTTGGGATGGCCTGGGTCCTCGTCCTCTTCCTGAGGGTCCCATGAGCGATCCTTGCTCGCTGCCAGAACAGGGCTGGGTCCCCAGGAGCCCTTGGGACATGGAGGCCGGTGGGCTCTGGGGGACACCTTCACCCAAAGTAGACACTAGGGAAGCTTTGTGCCCCTTACCCAAGTTTACGGTGAAGAATCTGGGAACCTAAATAAAACAATGAAGCCCTGGCCGGTTTGGCGCAGCGGTTGGAGCGTCGGCCTGCGGTATTGAGAGACCCGGGTTCGGTTCCCGCTAAGGGCACGTATCTCGGTTGCAGTTTGTCCCCGGCCCTGGTTGGTCGTGTGGGTGGCAGCCACTCGATGTGTCCCTTTCACATCGATGTTTCTCTCTCTCTCTCTTCTTCTCTCTCCCTCCCACTCTATCTGAACAAAAAAATGGAAAAATGTCCTCTGGTGAGGATAAAAAAAAAAAAAAAATGAATAATGGATGTGGCAGAACAGTGAGCAGCATCAGGAGGCAAGCCTCGGACCTTCCCTGGCAGTGGTGGTGCCTGGGGCCCCTTACCCTGCATCAGTGTTCCCTGTGTCCCTCACGGCTGTCCTGGCTATTGCCCAGAGGCGATGGGGACATCTGGGCTGTTTTCGCTTGTCGTGGGTCTGACGCTCCCCGCATCCCGGCGCTGTCTCCCGTCACGAGTGTGCTTGTTTCAGAAGCCGTACTGGGGGTACAGAACCAAGTCAAACCCAGAGGGTTCTCCCCGTGGGGACTGTGAGCCTGTCCTCCCGCTCTGTACCCCACCCCCAGATAATCTCACAAAGAAAAGGCGGCTTTGGGGGTCAAGCGCCTCCCGGGGACCACCGCTCAGGTGCCGATCTGCGGCTTTGTGGTGTTTCCTGGCCATTCTGGGGCTTTCTTCCACCCCAGCCCCTATGCCAGCCAGCCAGCCAGCCAGCCAGCGAGGCTGGGGCCCCAGCACACTGGGCAGGAGGACAGCCCCGGGGCTCCAGGGGAGCGGTGGGGGGCTGTTTCCACATTTGCAGAAGTTTGGGCGGCAGAATAGCTCAGACGGGCCTGTGGGTGACGCGTGAACTGGGGGGTGGTGCCCTGCAGTGTGTACGGCAGCTGGGGCGTCCGAGGGATGTTTGCCGAGTGAGTGGGTGGGTGGAGTGACCATGCCTTTCCTCTCTGTGCAGGGCAAGCGGAGTAACAGGCCTCGTCACCCCAAGTTGTCCAGACCCTCGGCTCTCCCTCTTTTCCTGGCCTTGTCCCCCTCCTCATGCCCACCTCATCCCCAGGGGGCTGTCTCCCTGGGCCTCCCCCTTCTACTCAATAAACACATTCTGTTGGCTCCAGGCTCACTTCTTTGGAGATGCCTTCAGGGGGAGCACAGTGGGCCCCGTCTCGGCCTTGGGGAAACTGAGGCAAGGAGGTGGGTGTGAAGGGGATTCTGGCTGCTGGGCTCTTCCTGGCACCTGTGGGGGGGCTGTACCCCCAGGCAGCATCTAGCACCCACTGGCTCGACCCCCATGGGTTCCCACCCTGTGGAGCCCAGCCCGCTGCCGGGCTCTGCGGGAGGAGCTAGAAGCCGAGCCGCGTGGCTCTGGGGCTTCGCTGCCCCCACCCATGTGACCTGGACCTTGGGCACACGTGTAACCCTCTGGAAGGCCTGGTAACGGGTCACGGTGGTGGCCAGTGCACTCCAAGCCCTCGCCTCCAGCGTAGCCCATGGTGGGCTGCTGGACACGCGCAGTGAGCCTGTTGCGTTTCTTGTTTCACAGACCTGGAAGCTGGGGCATGCAGAGGGCTGCGACTTGCCCCGCAAGGGGCCAAGCTGGGGGTTCAGGCCCAGTGGCCAGGCTCCAGGGCCTGGGCTCTGTGCTGACCGTCGATGAGATGTGGGGGAAGGAGAGCCCTCCCCGGGGCCCCTGCCACCATGGTCGCCCCGGACACTGTGCCTGGAGCCCTCCTGCAGGAACTCTGAACGCTGGGTTCCGTCCAGAGCACACACTTCAAAGGGGCAGACGTGGGGCGGGCAGGAAGGCGCTGGAGGTCCCGCTTCATTGCTCCGGGCGGTGCAGCCCCCGCAGGACTGGAGCCGGAAGCAGTGGGCCCCGAGGGCATCTGTCCTCATCCTGCTCCTGGTCCCCCAGAGACTGGGCGCCCTCACACGTCCTGCCTTCCCTCTGCTGCCTGGCGAAGCCCTTCCCAGGGGGCCCTGGCTTATGAGCCCGGGGCTGGGGTCAGCCCAGTTCTAGGGTCAGGCTGGGGCAGGGCCAGCCAGCCCTCAGCCTCCTCAGCCCCCACCCCTCAGCTGCTCCTGTCCTCTGGACGGTCCCCCTTGGTCTCCAGTGTGCCAGCCAGCTCTGGGCTACCCTCTCCTGGCTTGAGCCCCTGAAGCCAGCCTGACAGCCCTTGTGGGAGGGCAGCGCCGCGCCCGGAGGCAAGGTGGCCAGTCCCTGGTGAACGGGCCTCCTCAGCCTGGACGGTGGACAGGCCAGGGGTGTCATTCTGGACAGGAGCTGCTTTGGGCACCCTCAGACCCCTTGTGCTTCGTCATCATTACAGATGGGGAAACTGCGGCAGAGTAGCTGGGTCCCAGGGCTGGAGGGGGCAGGGCTGGTGCCCGGGAAGCCTGAGTCCATCCACCCTGACATGCTTATCGTCTGTCCTGGGTCCGTGAGAAAGTGCCGGTGGGAGGAGGCCTGGGGCGCTGGTGGCGAGCAGTGGATGCTGACACCGGTTCAGATCCCGGCTGTGTGCCACCGGCCTCAGACCGCGGGCAGGCAGGGCCTCTCCGAGGCAGCCTTCTGGGTGGGGGTCCCACCTTGCTGTGCACTGTGGGGCCTGAATGAATCGGGGGGATGCTCTGCACGGGCCTGGCACGGGTTGGGGCTGGCTACTATCATGGTGGAGGGGACATAGGCACAGGAAAGAGAAAAACGGGGGCGGGTCCCTGTGCCTGCAGAGGTCCGTCAGGCCAGCGGGACCCCACCTCCGGCTCCCGTGGGCCCCTCGCCCTCACTAGGCCTCAGAGGTGCTACCTGTGCAGGAAACACCCCGTGGAGACCCCCAGGCAGAGGAAACCCTCACTCACTTCCCCCGCCTGGAGGGCAGGACCCCGCTCAGCGCTTGGGCATCACTGTACTAGCCCTCAAGCGTTTGTCCCAAGACTCAGAACGAGCCTGGAACCTGTGCGTCCGTGGGGAGGTGCCCAGGGCGCATGCTGGATGCCATGGGGCCTGGGCTGGTGCGTCCATCCCACCAGCCCTGTGTGGGTTGGAGATGGGGTCCCGCGTATCCTGGTGGGGCGGGATGTCCTCATGCTCTCAGGCCCCAGGAGGCCCCTGTGCCTCACCCAGCCCTGTCCCCAGGCTGCTAGCCCAGGCCAGCCCCACCCCCGTGGCTGTGGGTGTCACAGGGCCTGGACGGCACCTTCTGCAGAAAAGGCGAATTTCTCTGAGCAGTGTGTGGCCACGTTTGCCTGATGACATTCCCAGGTGATTGCATCACCCTGGCTGTCCCTTGGATATAAACCCAGGCGCCGGGGGCAGAGGTGTCGTGAGCGCTGAGCAGGGATGGAGGCCAGGCTGCTGAGCGCCATCCTGGGTGTTGTCATGGTGCAGGTGCAGACGGCCATGCAGTACCTGGACATGGAGAAGGTGGCTTCCCTTCCTTGTCTTGAAGAGGTTGGGGGGGATGGGCCCAAGTGTCTGGCTAGTCTAGTCCCCCGTTCCAACACCCCCCAGCGGATGACTGAGCAGCTGCCTGGATCGGGGGCCCAGACCTGCCCAAGTCAGCCCCTACAAGGGCAGGTGGCTAAGGGTCTGAGTTCAGCCCACCTGCTCTCGCCTCTCCTTGGGAGGCAGCGCCCCAGGACGGGGGGGTGGGGTGGGGAGAAGGGCAGAGCCCTTCCTGAGGGTCTCCTGGGGGTAGACCTGTGTCCTCAGCCAGGTTGCTGGTCCTCTGGGGTGTCCAGGGTCCAGGGCTCGGTGTGGCCACCTCATGCTTTCAGGTCAGTGGGGTCCTGCCCCCTCTGGCCCTGTCCACCGTGGGAACCAGAGGGGGCCCGTCCCGGTGGGAAGGGTGGCTGGGGGCTTTGGTCCCATCTAGATGCTTCTGTGGTTGGGCCCCTTCTTTGCTGGGTCTGGGTTGGTTTCGGGGCCAGGAGCCAAAATGACCAGCTTCTAAAAGATTCAGATGGAAGTTGTGGGCTCCGGATAAGTTTCTGGAGGAAGGAGCCCCCCCCCAAAGTGAGGCCGGGCAGAGCTGTGCCTCTCCCGGGGGGCAGGGCTGCTGGCTGCTGCTGGCCCCGCAGGGCCGCTGGCTCCCTGGAGGTTTTCACAGCCGGCCGGCCCTCTCCAGCCCATCTGCCCTCTGGCGACCCTCCCAAGGACAGGCAGCAGCAGAGGTCGTTGTCCGGAGGACAATGCACACGGGCCTGGGTGGGGAGGGGCTCGTCCCGCTGGCATCTTGTCTGGTCAGAAAGGACCCCCTGGAAGGATGGCCACCTGCTGCTTTGTCACTGAGCCTTGCGGGTGTCCACTGACCTACCTGGGGAGTCCTGGGGGTCCACCCCATGGAGCCCAAAGACAAGGATCCCCACTGGCTGCCCCAGAGGGGCTTGGCTCTCTCTCTTCTCTCTAGATTGCAGGATTCTGGCGGGAAGTCGGTGTGGCTTCCAACCAAAACCTGGCACTGAAGACCCCGAAAAGGATGGAGGCCTTGTTCCTGACCCTGAGTGGGGACGAGCTGACCGTGAAGGCTGCGTACAACAGGTGAGGGCCGGCTCCCCAGAGCTCACGCAGGAGCAGGTGTGTGGCCAGGAGCCCGGGAGCGGCCCAGCTGCTCCAACTGTGGCTTGGGTTTCAGCCGGCATCATCACTTGGGTGGCTCCGCCCTCCCTGTGTCCACCACTCAAGACCCCGACCCCTGCACACACACCTGTGCCTTCCTCGCTCTGCCGCCGTCCTCCTGAAGACACTTACGCCACGCCGCCCTGAGTGCACCCAGCAGGAGGCACGCAGTCTGGCTTCTTCCTAGTGAGGCCTTTGCTACCTTTCAGCTCAGGAAGTTGTGAGACAGAAAACATCGTGGGCTCAGAAGTGGATGTTTCGGGGAGATTTGTTTTTCCCGGTAAGAACGTGGCCCTGTCGCTGCAGCGACAACACCCTGGTGCTGCACACCAGGAGCACTCGGCCGTGCTGTTCCCCATGCTGTTCCCTGCAGTGTCCCCGGGCTGTTCCCCACACCGTTCCTGTGCTCTCCTCCTGCTCCAGACTCTCCCATTCTGCCACCAATCAACCTGTCACCCTTCAAGAGCTACTCCAGTCCTCCAGACCCCCCGGAAATTATGGATGGGTCAGGCAGGGGTGGGGAGAGCATGGAGTCTGACCCCAGAGGTGCTGGTGTGCACGGTCTCGCCCCTTCTGCTTGCTCCCAGGCCACAGGGAGATCCACGTGATCGACACGGACTACGAGCGCTACGCCATCCTGAGGCTGTCCCTCCACTGGCAGGGCAAGGACTTCCACGTGCTCAAGTACTTCAGTAAGCTCAGCGGGTGGGGCCTGTCCTGCTGCTGTCCCGCCGGCCCCCAGCTCAGCCCCCTCCCCCCACAGCTCGCAGCCTGGAGGACGAGGATGAGCCCGGCTTCTGGAGGTTCCGGGAGCTGACCGCAGAAACCGGGCTTTACTTGGCGGCCCGGCACGGTGAGCCCAGGTCTCTGGGATGGGCTGTGGGCTGGGAACTCCGCGGCGGGGTGGGGGGTGTCCTGGCAGAAGTCCAGCCTCACCCCGCCCCCGTCCCGCAGGGAGGTGCGCCAAGCTCCTGAAGGAGGTGAGCCTTCGCCCCGTCTGCTCTGAGCCCCCTGAGTCCCCGGCATGGCGGGAGCCCTGCCCCTCTGGATCCGGGGCCTGCAGGGTGGTGACCACAGAATGCCGGGGGACCCTGGAGGCTGGGGGGCAAGGGCAGGGCAGGGCAGGGCAATGGGGGGGCTGGGCCCCGTCTCCCCTCTCCATCTAGCAGGGTGTGATGGATGCTTGGTGCGGCCCTGTGGGCACCGTCTCAGGCCCCATGTCCCACACGTGCCAACCCGTCACCTGTCAACCCCTCTGTCTCAACACCGCCCGAGGGCTGGGGGCTGTCACCCGCTTGGCAGGCAGAGAAACTGGGCTGTGCTTTGCCCAAAGCTCCCAGCACAGTGGCCAGGATGCCCAGTCCTGACGTGGCCCTGACCGCGGCCTGGGGCCTTGGGAGCGGGCAGCCCCTGAGCCCTGCCCTTCTGTGTCCCAGGAGCTGATCTAGGAGGCTGCCCCGGGCCAGGAAGCTGGGAGCCCTCCACCCA